TGGTAGGTGCTGCGCCACTCCGCGCGAGCCCCCCCCCCCCCCCCCCCCCGAAACAGGTGCTGTTTGGCTCCTTGCACACACACACACACACACACACACACACTACTACTACTACTACTACTAGCAGCATGACTGCCCAGAGGGGCAAGTGTCACCCCTATGGAAAGGGGACCAGAAAACGGGACACGGATCACAAGCAGGACCGCGAATGTCTGGCTAGATCCTGCTGCCGGCGGAAATTGCGTTTACAACGTGGGCAGCTGAGGGGCAGAGCTGCTCTCTCAGCAGCAGATGGTCTCGCACCACGATTGCAGTTGTGACGCTTGAACCCGGCCGCAGAACGGAAGCATCGCTGACATGTTGCACACACACACACACACACACACACACACACACACACACACACACACACACACACGCACGCATTAAATACAGGCACACAAAATCCAGTCTACTAGTACACGAGATGTGTTGCCAGTGAGGACGGGCAAACAAACTCAAGAATCTGGGAGAGTTCAACCAAAGGTCAGTCTAAAAAGATGATAACCATAAGCTAGAATTTGCTGAATTTCCTCAATGAGGATAGCTTAAATATAACGTTAAATGCAATTAATTTACGTGGTTCGGTAGTTGACAACATGAGCTGAGGACACTTCGGCAAAGAGTCAATCTCAAGAGAATAAAAGCAACTATGAGAGGAGAGATGGAGTAGCCATTGGTGACCCAGTTAGAGAGCGGCACAGGCTAGCCAAACAAAAAGGCAATAATGGAAGAAGGACAGAAACCAATGCATAACAATAGCATGCACTTGGTACAGAAGTTCTGATTAGTTCAGCACAGAGTGTGGCAAGCTGAGCAGAGACTGAGCGGCAGAGTGTGGCGCGTCTAGCCGCGTCCAAGTAGCACTATACGACATGCCGCATAGAGACTGAAAAAGCATTGTGCTCAGCAGAGACTGAGCAGCACAACGTGATGTGTCCAGCAGAGTTTGAGCAGAACGGCGCGACATGCTCAGCAGAGACAAAGCAGCACTCCAGCTGTAGCAACGCGATGTCATGTCGGGAAGCACGTGTGGACAAGTTAAGGCAAATTATTCTACATGTAAGAGGAGGAGTTGCCTATGAGGAATGTGTAAGACCCATAAACACTATGGATAGGAAAGGTAGATGACAAGATAATATATCTATACTGTTAGCTTGGTTTCAACTTGTCACAAAGCCATGGTTAAAAAGAGAGAAATAAATACTAGCATGTGCGTACATTGGAGAAGATCCTGTGGACGGCACGCGCAGTCGTGCTACGAATCTTCCGAGAGATGCGATGAGGTAGATGTGGGCGTATCCCTAGGGGAAGAAACAGTGCCAATGGGCGGTGAGAGACGTTTGCACAACTCACGGGCAATGATCAACTCCTCGTCGCCAACTTGGCTCGAGCGTGCCCTCACCATGCGCGCTTGCATGCGCTTGCGAACAGCATGACCTTCACTTATAGATGTGTCCGAGGAGTTGTCTGGACTCGACATATTCCCACCAGCACTAGAGGTGGCCACAGTCTCTATTTCGTTCTGAGAGTTGTGTTCGGCTGCGGCAGCAGGGCCCCCATCACTGATTGGCATGGCCATTGATGATCCAACAGGAGCACAAACAACTGCATCCACTGCTTGCGCTTCAGGCACTGGATCGCCGACCACTGCAGAAGCGGCTGCCGTCGACGCAACCGGAATGAGAATAGAGCTGCCCGTTAGAGGAGAATCACACTCCTCTGTATCACTGTTCGCTGCCGCTGCCTCGTTTCTCATCAAGCGTCTCACCTGGGTGATGACACGCCGGCCTTCCTGCTTGAGGCGCACACGCGGCGACTGTGACTCGTCCACGTTGTCCTCAGTGTCCGTCTCCCCTCGTACGCCACTTGGCGAGTGTTTGCGTAGCGTGCTCAGCCCAACGTTGAGCAGGCGAGTGACAGCTCGCCCTCTTTCTTTCTCTGGCCCAGGGCCAGAGTTGGCCGCATCAGAGTTAGAGTTGTTGCTAGTGTCCACACGACGAGGTTTCCAACTCCACGGCTGCTTCATTTGCGACTGGGAGAGAACCACCAGGTCACTGGGACGCTTGCTGCGATTTCTGAAAAGTAGACAAGAGGAAGGTGCGGAAGACTTGGCCATCGCGGTTTTTACACACTTCACCAGACCACGCCACTCTCGTGACATACACCTGTGACATGAACATCATTATTGTACTGAGTACAATTATATTAAAATACTGGCATTGAGGAGTCTTTCTTCACATCTGCATGGTCCCTCAATGCTCGCAGTGCCAGTGCCTTCACGGAATAGTCACTTCTAGCTATTGTGGTGACACGTGTGTTGTGTGCGTGTTCAGGAGAGGGAGGGAGGGAGAGAGAGAGAGAGAGAGAGAGAGAGAGAGAGTGTGTGTGTGTGCGTGTGTGTGTGTGTGTGTGTGTGTGTGTGTGTGTGTGTGTGAGAGAGAGAGAGAGAGAGAGAGAGAGAGAGAGAGAGAAATAAAGAGCATGTGTGTATGTGAGAGAGAGAAAGAGAGAGCGTGTGCGTGCGAGTGCTCGCGAGTGCTCGCTCGCTCGCTCGAGATAGATAAATAGATAGATAGATAGATAGATAGATAGAGAGAGAGAGTGAGTGAGAGAGAGAGAGAGAGAGCTAAAGCTGGCTCAGGTGCTCACAGCACAATATAGATTTCATACTACAGTTGCGCTCATTGAAATCCAACCCAAAGTGAAAAGACTGGTGCCCTGGACCAGTACCGATTACATCACTTTACTTGTACATGTGTACATCCAGCCGCATTCCTACCACTTGCAGGGTGTCAAGGGTCGCGCAAGTACAGGGTGTACTTTGGGTCGGATTTCACCGAGCAGGACTGCACTTGCCACTGCTGGTGCTTTTCTTTACCTGTGGCATTGCTACCAAGTACATGCTGCACTGCGATGCCGGTCCAGGGCTCCAGGCGACCGGATGAATCACATGCAGGACTCTGTGAAAGAAATGCATGCTCAAGTTCTCTCTCTCTCTCTCTCTCTCTCTCTCTCTCTCTCTCTCTCTCTCTCTCTCTCTCTCTCTCTCTCTCTCTCTCTCTCTCTCTCTCTCTCTCTCTCTTGCAGCAACGCACATGTACAGCCTGCCCCCTACTTACTTGCTAAGCTTGGTCTCATGGTATGGCAGGGTTGGTCGACCGGCACTAGCACGTGCATCTTGAATACTCTGAGCAATGCCTTGCAAACTCTCTGCAATCACAAAGCACCACCAGCAAAATCATAACATAAGAAACAGTCGAACAAAACGGTGATTTCTCTACGTTTCACGTATAGCAGAACCTCTCTACTGTTGTGCGCGATCTATGGATCTGCGAAATCGATCGATTTGGCTGCGCGATCTATATAAATGATAACAGTTAGGGGGTATGGTTGTAGTGAGGGCTTTGGTCCCGTGACGTAGAGTTTGAATTTGGTGCTCCTGCTTTCCCCCGAGTTTCGCGAACTTTGCACAAGTAGACTTGGTAGCTCTCTCCACAGTGATGCCCGCAAAGGGCAACTCCGCGACTGGCGTCCCTGACGGCCAGTGTTGCCAGTGCACTGGCAATTCCAAGTGCGGAAAAAGGCTGCTGTTGCCGAGAAGCTGACAAGCTATGCGAGGATTGCGGGCCCGGGAACAGGGCAAGATGCAAAAATTCGCAAACCGTCGCGGCGAGGGCCAGTCCCGTAGGCATTCGAACCATACGATACATTCCAGCTGCCGCGTCCCCCACGTGGAGACCGACAACCCAGGGCGAAGCCCACGTGTCGCAACAGTCGGCTCGGGACACTCCACCTCTGGACGAGCTCCACACCGATGGTCAGGGCCAAGGACTAGATAGTACCAAGCAGGTGTCGGACTCGCAGCAGTTAGCGTGGGACGTACTGGAACAGCTCCACGTCGCCGAGCTCTGCGTCGACGGTCAGGGCCAAGGACTAGATGGCACTACCCACGTGTCGGACTCGCAGCAGCTGGCGTGGGACGGCCTGGAACAACGCCACCTCGCCGGCCCGATTTCCAATTCGCAAAAGGTAGCATGGGACCTTCTCGATGCCTCTACACCAACACCCTCGGAGACCGACTCCTGTGGAGAAGATGCACTGCCACGTGAAGCCAATGCTCCACGGCAAGACCGACAACTAACGGCACAAGAGGTCGCCCTCCTAGCGAGCCTGAGCTCCTCGCAGCCCAATAGCAACAGCGAGCCGGAACCCACAAATGCGCACGGTACAGCTAGTGGGCAGGGTGCTGCAACACTGCCAATCACGCCAGCTGACCAACGGCTCAGACTTGGTGAGCTGAGCCCCGAGGACACAGGACAGGTCATAGCTGCAGCGTACGAGGAATCGTACACTTCCGGCCTAACCTGTTCGCCATCCCATCGGGTGCACATGGCAGGTCAGTGGTGGACTTGAGCGCTCGCTACGTCAATACATTCGGAACAAATGCGGCGGGAGAAGGCATAGCCTTGAAGGCACTTATGGTCTGCCACAGTCTTCTACTGCAACAACCGGCCAACTGCTTGACACGTAAGGTGCATGTGGAATGTCTGAACCGACGAATGCAGCTATGGAACGAGGGGAAACATCAATGAACTCGTCCGGGAAGCACGTACCATCCAGCGCCAACTAACCAAGGAACGTGGCGGGAAACGGGCTCAAAGTCTAGATGACGCGCGACGTTTCGCTACCCTCATCAAAAATGGTAAACTGGGCGCAGCTCTCCAGTCCCTGACAGCAACGCCCTCAGGTGGGCTGCTAAATCTGGACTCCTCCGCTGATGGTAAAACCGTGAGGCAAACGCTGAAAGAGAAGCACCCGCCGGCGGAACCCATGCATGCAGATGCCCTCATCATCGGCCCCTGCCCTGAACTGCCGCACCCGGTGCTGTTCGAAGCTCTGAACAGAGACATCATTCGGCAATCGGTGCTAAGGACAAATGGAGCAGCGGGCCCATCCGGCATGGACTCTACCAGCTGGAAACGCGTGTGCACCTCGTTCGGAGCGTCCTCGGACCAGCTATGTGATAGCATCGCCGCCTGCGCCAAGCGCATCGCCACCGGAATCATCAACCCAATTTCCCTCGAGTCATTCACGGCATGTCGCCTGGTGCCTCTGGATAAGAAGCCCGGGGTGCGCCCAATCGGCATATGTAAAGTCCTCAGAAGGATAGTAGGCAAAGCCATCCTCACCATAATCGGAGAGCAGATCCAACAGGCGGTCGGGTCGCTTCAGCTGTGTGGCGGCCAAGAATGTGGTGTGGAAGCAGCAATCCGGCACCTATGGAACGAGGACGAGACCGAAGCAGTCCTCCTAGCAGACGCGGGCAATGCGTTCAACAGGCTGAACCGCAGTGTATGCTTGCACAACATCCGTCACCTCTGTCCGGCCATCGCAGGTGCCGTCACCAACACCTACCAGCATCCTGCAAGGCTGTTCGTCGATGGGGAGTGTCTTCTTTCTGAGGAGGGCACCACCCAGGGAGACCCGATGGCAATGCCCATGTATGCCATTGGGCTCCTCCCACTCATGCAGAAGGCGGCGAGCAGCTCAGCGGCACAGCACATCTGGTTTGCGGATGATTCCACAGCAGCAGGCCGTATGGGTGCGCTGCGTGTATGGTGGAACACGCTCGAGGAGGAGGGCCACAAGTACGGATACTTCATCAATGGTTCCAAGTCCACTCTCCTGGTGAAACCACAGTTTGCCAAAACCGCGGAGGAAGTGTTCCATGGGACTAACATCGCAATCACGCAAGACGGTTGCCGTCATCTGGGTGCGGGACTGGGCACTGCTGCTTTCTGCAAGCAGTTTGTTGCAGCGAAGGTCACGGAATGGGTGAAGGAACTGCAAGTCCTCACCAGGTACGCCCAATCGCAACCACAAGCAGCGTACACGGCGTTCACGCAAGGGCTGAAGGGCAAGTGGACATTCCTCGCTCGCACCATGCCAGAAGCGACGGAGAATTTCCAGCCACTGGAGGAGATTATCCACGGCGAGTTTATCCCGGCGCTCGCAGGACACCCCGCTCCTGATCAGACCACCCGCACTCTCCTCGCTCTGCCTTGTCGCCTAGCGGGCATGGGTCTAATCAACCCGTGCGATCTCGCCAGCCAGTTTGATGACCCCAGGACCATCACGCAGCCATTGGTGGAGCGGATCATCATGCAAAACTCGGACCTAGGTGATGTTCACCACACCATGAAGGCAGAGAAGGGGAAGGTGCGCAGGATCCACTCCGTAAGGGAGAAGGAGACCCTAGCCGCTGTGGAAGAGAGCATCGCTTCGGACTTAAAGCGGTCCAGGGAGCTGGCGGCGGAGAAGGGTGCCTCGTCGTGGCTGACATGCAAACCACTGAAGATGTTTGGCTTCATGCTATCCAAGAGCGCATTTCACGATGCGGTTTCATTGCGATATGGCTGGCCTCTGAAGCGGTTGCCCTCTGCTTGCAGCTGTGGTAAATCATTCACCGTGGACCATGCTCTCTCCTGCTCAACCGGCGGCTACCCTAGCCTCCGCTACAACGAGGTACGCGACCTCGCAGCATCCATCATGAAGGAAGTTGCGCACCAAGTTGTGGTGGAACCGCTGCTAGAGCCGCTGACAGGTGAGAGGATGACGCTACGGTCGGCTTCAACTGAAGACAACGCCCGCCTGGACATCGGTGTCAGTGGAGTCTGGGGAGGTCGGTACGAGCGTTCGTACTTAGATGTCCGGGTTTTCAACCCCCACGCCCCCACCAACGCCAAGTTTGCCTTGCCCGCTGTGTACAAGCGACATGAGCAGGAGAAGCGTCGCCGCTACGAGGAACGGATCACCAACGTCGAGCACGCCTCCTTCTCACCAGTTGTCTTGTCCTGCACTGGAGGGTATGGCAAAGCTGCGACAGCACTCTATGCTCGGCTGGCGATGCTCGCCGACAAGAAGCAGGAGCCGTACTCTGCCACAATCTCCTACATCCGATGTAAGCTCAGCTTTGCCCTCATCCGTGCTGCTGTTGCCAGTCTGCGAGGCCATCGGCACCGCGTGCCCTCAGATGCAAACGACTCGGCCCGATTTGCGGTTGCCATGAGCAGCATCGGTTAAACCCTCCCGAGGCTCCATACTAGACTGTTTTCACAGCCATTTTTGCTCTCTCGACTGTCTTCACAGCCATTTTTGCTCTCTCGACTGTTTTCACAGCCATTTTTGCTCGTTTTTCTTCCGGTGCTGTTGAGGTTGCACTCGTAATTGTGTTTATTTTGCCCGTACAAGAGGCTTGGTGTGATAAAAAAAACCAAAAAACAAAAAACAGTTCCGCCAGAAATGACCAAAGACAAAGAACGATAACAAATCAATTCCAAACCAGGCTATCTGTATCATACTTCACCAGTCATACACCATGGGTAGCTTTTACAGAGCCGTGCACATGCTCAAGCTGCATCATTTAAATTTCTTGGTTGATGAGGACGATTCAGATGTCTGGAAGTATCAGCAATATGTCCGTAAAACAATAAGTGAAGCGATACGATTAACAGCTATTGAGATATTCCACTCATAAACATTCGTCGTAGCAAATTTGCGCTCTGATTGCGTGCCCAGCCTTGAGTGACCAAAGAAAACCGATCTCTGCAAGTTTGTGACTGGAGTACGCTTTCTGGTCTGGTCGCCACATGCCAAAATCAAGCTTCGGCTCAAAATGATCCTCTCATCACCAGCTTTCCAAGATGCCTAAGATGATGAAAATAACCAAAAGAGATCAAGGCCAATGGCCAGAGAAGGCAACATTTTGCAAAACGTTCCATATCAGCTCATTGGCAGTGACTTTTGCGGCCGTGAAAGTGCTAAGATTAGGGATGCGAAGAATATTTGATTATTCGAATTTATTCGATCTAATAATTCAAACTTGCTAAGACATGCTCAAATGGTAACAGCAATGACTTCTAGCGCTGAGATGGGAGTAATTACACTGTCTTGTCTTGTGGCGTCTGGGTAATGCTAGAGGAAATCGAGTTCATCTCGGAGAGTAAGGACAACTTTTCACGGCACAAACAATTCTTCAAAGTTCATCGGCTGGTATTTGAGGAATACAATACTTGATGACTCACTGAATTGGATTCGAGTGAATTTTCGTTCGGTAAATTACGGCTTGTTGCATCACTACAAGATCGACACAAGATCGTCCTGCACAGGATACGAATTATGCATTACCCACCAAGAAAAACAGGAAGGTACACAGGAGAGGCCACTGAATCAACTCACCCATTGCTTCGGCCGACGAGTGGCTGTGAATGGGCTTCACAGTATAGAAGAAGCCACTCTCTCCTTTCTGGCGGCGCAGCAAGCGCAGGAAAACAGTTTGCGAGGATTTTCCCAGGGAAGACAACACACCTGGGAGCACAACAGAGGAAATCAAGTCACCCCGTCTCAAAAGCCAGTAGTCAATATGGATGTACAGTAGCGTCTCAATGAGAAGCGCCTCTCTTGCGATAACCTGTTGTTTCGAATAGGAACAAGCCTGATTTTCCAGATGGAACACAAGTGGCACAGACGCTTGGTTTATGTTGACTGCCGCTCCTAGACTACCGCAAGATCGCGTATTAAAGCCGGGCTTATTGCTGTAGAAGCTCATGCTAGGGCTATGCTTCTATTCAAACCAGGTATTTCTATGTGTGTCAACACTAAAACCAGGCTTACTACAGTGTTGCCACATCATTATAGCCAAATATCAGTAGGATAAAAAAACAAAATGCATCATCCGGGGCCTTCGCCCCCGGACCCCCTACCCTATGTAGCGACCTCGATACACACACACACACACACACGCACACACATGCGCGGCACTGATAAGAAAAAAAATTCACGTTTTGTGTGAGACTCGGGCTGAGTTTGCCGATTTTTCTCGAGACAGATGATGATTTCGCTTAGCGTCTTAGGAGAGAGCTATGGAAACACGCGTAATGAGCAGTAAAGGCCAAAATTCTGGATCATGACTTCTAAACCACGCGTAAGGTCAAACTTGGACACTTTCATGGCTGTTGTCGGCAGGAGAAGGTCAATTGTCGGCAGGTCGTGACATGCCTCAAAAATCGGCAGGCTACTGACATGTCGGCAGGTGTGGCAACACAGTTACTAGTATGTGCTGACAGTGTACATGTATCTTGAAAATCAGGCTTGTATTCAAAACAGGCTTGTATTCAAAACAGGCTTGTATTCAAAACAGGCTTGTATTCAAAACAGGCTTGTATTCAAAACAGGCTTGTATTCAAAACAGGCTTGTATTCGAAACAGGCTTGTATTCGAAACAGGCTTGTATTCAAAACAGGCTTGTATTCAAAACAGGCTTGTATTCGAAACAGGCTTGTATTCCAAACAGGCTTATATTCGAAACAGGCTTGTATTCGAAACAGGCTTGTATTCGAAACAGGCTTGTATTCGAAACAGGCTTGTATTCGAAACAGGCTTGTATTCGAAACAGGCTTGTATTCGAAACAGGCTTGTATTCGAAACAGGCTTGTATTCGAAACAGGCTTGTATTCGAAACAGGCTTGTAATCGAAACAGGCTTGTATTCGAAACAGGCTTGTATTCGAAACAGGCTTGTATTCGAAACAGGCTTGTATTCGAAACAGGCTTGTATTCGAAGCAGGCTTGTATTCGAAGCAGGCTTGTATTCGAAACAGGCTTGTATTCGAAACAGGCTTGTATTCGAAACAGGCTTGTATTCGAAACAGGCTTGTATTCGAAACAGGCTTGTATTCGAAACAGGCTTGTATTCGAAACAGGCTTGTATTCGAAACAGGCTTGTATTCGAAACAGGCTTGTATTCGAAACAGGCTTGTATTCGAAACAGGCTTGTATTCGAAACAGGCTTCCCTATGTGAGGCAGGCTTTAGTACAAGACACTACAGTATGTACAGATCAACACTGCAGAGAAGAACACTGCGCAATGCCATCAGCTTGACGTACCCAGTTGAAAGCTATGGAGATCTTCCAGTGGTATTCTCTCGTACTGTGACACATCATCAAACTCATAGTCATACCTGCAAGCACAAAGAAGGAGTAACATCAAAGTAGCAACAATAGAAGTAAGCAACAACGGTAGCACCGCCAACAGCAGGAAAAAATGTAGACGTAATAGATGCCAGATAGCTGCCAAAACACCTCATAAGAACCACATCGAGTCAGAAAAATGAGAAAAATAAGAGAGGGGGAGGGGGAGGGGACAGATAGACAGGAGAGACAGACAGAATGTGGTAAAATGCACATTTTGTCTTCATCAGCGGTGCTACCGCGATCACAAATAATGAGGACGACTCACATGGCAACGAACAAAGCATCGTTGACTAGCAGCAGCACCAGATCAATGTCGTCATGTGTGTCAAGAAGGCCAGAGCTACAGAGAACACACAACACAGTGACAGAGTGTGTGGCATTCAGTTTATGATAACCACCGACATTATGGTAGGTGAGCCATAGTACATTCACTGAAGCTCCCAATAACCAAGAAAGCAGAATCTTGTTGTAACTCTCAAACATCATCATTATTAATTAAAGGGGAAGTTAAGGCTAAAATCAAAATTTCACCAGTTGTAGTCTTCGGGGTGCTGAGTCGAATGGTCGTGGTTCGAGGAAGCTGAGACGCTCCCTTCCTACTTTAATCCCAATCGAACTCGCGCACTTCCACCGAAACTGGGTGACTGCGCCCTATTAGATGGGGATTTGTATGCAAAATGTCACTAAAAGCGCCATTTCGGTCTTATAAAAGCACGGATGACCGCGATTGGCCCATATGTTGTAGTCTTTTGGACGCTGAGTCGACTGGTTTTGGTCCGAAAAGGCTGCGATGCAGCGTTCCTCCTTTATTCCCAATCGAACATGGTTGAACAAGCGGTCACGTGCTCCTGCGTACACCAGTCACCTGGTCACCGTGCCTGCAGGGTACAACTTACTAGCCTGTTTGACTTTTTTGGGTGCAGTCCTGTCACTCGAGTTGAACTCGAGTTGAACCTTGGTGTGAAAGTTGTCACCTGCTGGCGTGGTGACCAGGTGATTCGGGCACCCAGGAGCACGTGACCGCTTGTTCAACCATGTTCGATTGGGAATAAAGGAGGAACGCTGCATCGCAGCCTTTTCGGACCAAAACCAGTCGACTCAGCGTCCAAAAGACTACAACATATGGGCCAATCGCAGTCATCCGTGCTTTTATAAGAACGAAATGTCGCTTTTAGTGACATTTTGCATACAAATCCCCATCTAGTAGGGCGCAGTCACCCAGTTTCGGTGGAGGTGCGCGAGTTCGATTGGGATTCAAGTAGGAAGGGAGCGTCTCAGCTTTCTCGGACCAAGACCATTCGACTCAGCACCCCGAAGACTACAACCGGTGAACTTTTGATTTTAGCCTTAACTTCCCCTTTAACGACTCTTGAAATCTTCTCCACATCCACTCTACAATGTAAATGAAGCTTAGAGCGTAAAGCAAGTCAAAGATTGAAAAGTCAAGGTGCTGAAGCTCAACACTGTACAATGTGTACATGATACTCGAGAAATCATCATGGTAGACCTGCACTCTTCACCACTACTGCATGGGTGATATTAATATTAAATTCCCCCTGCAGCAGCTAGGCCAGCTAGAGCAGCTAGCAGCTAGGCCAGCTAGAGCAGCTAGGCCAGCTAGAGCAGCTAGCAGCTAGGCCAGCTAGAGCAGCTAGCAGCTAGGCCAGCTAGAGCAGCTAGCAGCTAGGGCAGCTAGAGCAGCTAGCAGCTAGGCCAGCTAGCAGCTAGGCCAGCTAGAGCAGCTAGCAGCTAGGCCAGCTAGAGCAGCTAGCAGCTAGGCCAGCTAGAGCAGCTAGGCCAGCTAGGCCAGCTAGAGCAGCTAGCAGCTAGGCCAGCTAGAGCAGCTAGCAGCTAGGCCAGCTAGAGCAGCTAGCAGCTAGGCCAGCTAGAGCAGCTAGCAGCTAGGCCAGCTAGAGCAGCTAGCAGCTAGGCCAGCTAGAGCAGCTAGGCCAGCTAGCAGCTAGGCCAGCTAGAGCAGCTAGGCCAGCTAGAGCAGCTAGCAGCTAGGCCAGCTAGAGCAGCTAGCAGCTAGGCCAGCTAGAGCAGCTAGGCCAGCTAGAGCAGCTAGAGCAGCTAGCAGCTAGGCCAGCTAGAGCAGCTAGAGCAGCTAGGCCAGCTAGAGCAGCTAGCAGCTAGGCCAGCTAGAGCAGCTAGCAGCTAGGCCAGCTAGAGCTGTATTCACATGCTACTGTGACTACTGCCACTAGCGCCAGTTTCAACACGGAAAGGAACGCGTAGCTTACCAGGGTCCTTGCTCAACAACTGCCCAGCCCTGCATAGCTTACCAGGGTCCTTGCTCAACAACTGTCCTGCCCTGCATAGCTTACCAGGGTCCTTGCTCAACAACTGCCCAGCCCTGCATAGCTTACCAGGGTCCTTGCTCAACAACTGCCCAGCCCTGCATAGCTTCCCAGGGTCCTTGCTCAACAACTGCCCAGCCCTGCATAGCTTCCCAGGGTCCTTGCTCAACAACTGCCCAGCCCTGCATAGCTTCCCAGGGTCCTTGCTCAACAACTGCCCAGCCCTGCATAGCTTACCAGGGTCCTTGCTCAACAACTGCCCAGCCCTGCATAGCTTACCAGGGTCCTTGCTCAACAACTGCCCAGCCCTGCATAGCTTACCAGGGTCCATGCTCCACAACTGCCCTGCCCTGCATAGCTTACCAGGGTCCTTGCTCAACAACTGCCCAGCCCTGCATAGCTTACCAGGGTCCATGCTCCACAACTGCCCTGCCCTGCATAGCTTACCAGGGTCCTTGCTCAACAACTGCCCAGCCCTGCATAGCTTACCAGGGTCCATGCTCCACAACTGCCCTGCCCTGCATAGCTTACCAGGGTCCTTGCTCAACAACTGCCCTGCCCTGCATAGCTTACCAGGGTCCTTGCTCAACAACTGCCCAGCCCTGCATAGCTTACCAGGGTCCTTGCTCAACAACTGCCCAGCCCTGCATAGCTTCCCAGGGTCCTTGCTCAACAACTGCCCAGCCCTGCATAGCTTCCCAGGGTCCTTGCTCAACAACTGCCCAGCCCTGCATAGCTTCCCAGGGTCCTTGCTCAACAACTGCCCAGCCCTGCATAGCTTACCAGGGTCCTTGCTCAACAACTGCCCAGCCCTGCATAGCTTACCAGGGTCCTTGCTCAACAACTGCCCAGCCCTGCATAGCTTACCAGGGTCCATGCTCCACAACTGCCCTGCCCTGCATAGCTTACCAGGGTCCTTGCTCAACAACTGCCCAGCCCTGCATAGCTTACCAGGGTCCATGCTCCACAACTGCCCTGCCCTGCATAGCTTACCAGGGTCCTTGCTCAACAACTGCCCAGCCCTGCATAGCTTACCAGGGTCCATGCTCCACAACTGCCCTGCCCTGCATAGCTTACCAGGGTCCATGCTCAACAACCGCCCAGCCCTGCATAGCTTCCCAGGGTCCTTGCTCAACAACTGCCCAGCCCTGCATAGCTTACCAGGGTCCTTGCTCAACAACTGCCCAGCCCTGCATAGCTTACCAGGGTCCTTGCTCAACAACTGCCCAGCCCTGCATAGCTTCCCAGGGTCCTTGCTCAACAACTGCCCAGCCCTGCATAGCTTCCCAGGGTCCTTGCTCAACAACTGCCCAGCCCTGCATAGCTTCCCAGGGTCCTTGCTCAACAACTGCCCAGCCCTGCATAGCTTACCAGGGTCCTTGCTCAACAACTGCCCAGCCCTGCATAGCTTACCAGGGTCCTTGCTCAACAACTGCCCAGCCCTGCATAGCTTACCAGGGTCCATGCTCCACAACTGCCCTGCCCTGCATAGCTTACCAGGGTCCTTGCTCAACAACTGCCCAGCCCTGCATAGCTTACCAGGGTCCATGCTCCACAACTGCCCTGCCCTGCATAGCTTACCAGGGTCCTTGCTCAACAACTGCCCAGCCCTGCATAGCTTACCAGGGTCCATGCTCCACAACTGCCCTGCCCTGCATAGCTTACCAGGGTCCTTGCTCAACAACTGCCCAGCCCTGCATAGCTTACCAGGGTCCTTGCTCAACAACTGCCCAGCCCTGCATAGCTTACCAGGGTCCTTGCTCAACAACTGCCCAGCCCTGCATAGCTTACCAGGGTCCTTGCTCCACAACTGCCCTGCCCTGCATAGCTTACCAGGGTCCTTGCTCAACAACTGCCCAGCCCTGCATAGCTTCCCAGGGTCCATGCTCCACAACTGCCCAGCCCTGCATAGCTTACCAGGGTCCTTGCTCAACAACTGCCCAGCCCTGCATAGCTTACCAGGGTCCATGCTCCACAACTGCCCTGCCCTGCATAGCTTACCAGGGTCCTTGCTCCACAACTGCCCAGCCCTGCATAGCTTACCAGGGTCCATGCTCCACAACTGCCCTGCCCTGCATAGCTTACCAGGGTCCTTGCTCCACAACCGCCCTGCCCTGCATAGCTTACCAGAGTCCTTGCTCAACAACTGTCCTGCCCTGCATAGCTTACCAGGGTCCATGCTCCACAACTGCCCAGCTGCATAGCTTACCAGGGTCCATGCTCAACAACTGCCCAGCCCTGCATAGCTTACCAGGGTCCATGCTCCACAACTGCCCTGCCCTGCATAGCTTACCAGGGTCCATGCTCCACAACTGCCCAGCCCTGCGCCGTGTCCTCTTCATCCGGCACCAGCAGACGCTTGCACTTCATGATGCTCTCGGCAACGCTCTCCTCGCGCTCCATGGTCCACTCGTCGGCTTCGGGGCTGATGACAGCCATGTCACCGACGCTCTCACTGCGCGCCAAGCGCAACAGGTCCACGCTGACCGCGTTGCCCAGCATCAGATCTGTGCAAAGCCAAAAGAGGGGAATACAGTCAGCATCAGATCTGTGCAAAGCCAAGAGAGGTGATTACAGTCAGCATCAGTATCAAAAAAAAAATTCACGGTTCGCGTGAGACTCGGCTGGAAGCCGGGTTTTCCGCATCCGTAGGAACGCCACCACCCTTCAAGGATCAAGGCGCAGATGCAGCTCCTAAAGCGGTGGGAGGTGAGTAGATCAGCTCACCAGCAAGTGGTCAAAGACCGAAAATCCCATTCACTGCATCCATGTTTTCCTCGTGCCAGGCCACGAGTTCCCAATTAACTGTGGGTCGCAGCACGGCTGGAAAAAATCCTTCCGCTTCCAAGCAGGACTTGAACCTGGTACCCTCTGTTTCTCTATCATGGTATTAGACCATCCCACTATGCCTGCCTGCCTCATCAGTATCAGCATCAGTATAAATATCAGCATCAGCATAAACATCAGTATGAGCCATGCTGGATATAGACATGTAGGCATGTGTAGCATACGGAGTGAGGTGACATTGTCAGCTAGCTATACTGAAGATAAATAAGCATTTGCTATATGCTGCATTCTGCATACTTCAGAAGACAGAAATCAGCCATGCCAGCCATGCCAGCCATGCCAGACAGGACTACATCATACTGTAGTAGGCTGGACTAGGCTGTATTAAGCATGGCTGCAATACGTATCTAATATTGACTGAGTACGAGGTCAATATAGGAAATAAAAGCCGAGTAAAAGACCGAGGCGAAGCCGAGGTCTTTTACGAGGTTTTTATTTCCTATACTGACCAAGTACGAAGTCAATATTAGATTTATCACGACAAACAGTCCGTATTTCAAATTCCAGAACGATAACCTCATGAATCCCGGTTTTAGGATTGCACAACCGTTGCACCACCACCTACTCATGCAGTGACAATGCTGCACTAGGCACCGTTCAACTGCGCAACCCTCAGCAGTCAAATATAAGCAGTCAATATAGCCCTAAGGAGTGAAATATGCAGGAATATTTGACTGCTTAGGTATAGCGAAAATCAATGGGAGTCAATACTAAATTCGAATAAATTCGACGGGGTTCGCGTACCGGGCAGGTCAAGAACAAGGAGTCGTACAACTCCCTGGTCAAGAACCACCTTTCCGCTTCCGTGGGACGCCACCACCCCATGATCAGGCGTCAGATGTGGCTCCTAAACGGTGGGGGAGGATAGATCAGATCCACCAACCAGAGGCCAAAGGCCTCGATCCCATTTGCCACATCCATGTATTACTCATGCCAGGCCACGAGTTCCCAATTAACTGTGGGTCGCAGCACGGTTGGAAAAAATCCTTCCGCTTCCAAGCAGGACTTGAACCTGGTACCTCTCGTTTCTCAATCATGGTCTTAGACCAACCCACTGTGCCTGCCTGCAGCCTGCAGTCAGCCTGCAGTCAATACTAAGAGAGTGGTAAACTGTGTTACACTGTGTGCAGGTACGCACACCGGTTAGCAACAGTGAAGCATGTACTAGTAGTTATGTACAGTCTATGTACTGCCTTCTCCACATACAAAGACACATGGCACAGATGAAGACCAATATGCATCATACTGCCCCCCCCCCCCCCCCCATGTCCCTGTCTCTCGGTCTGTCTCTCGGTCTGTCTCTCTGGCTGTCTGTCTGCCCGTCTGTCTCTCCATCAGACAGTCTTCCATCTCTAATCATACAGGCTACATGCGAGCAATGCTCACTTACCAATGACAGTTTGCCGGTACACATCGCGGAAATGATTGACGTAATACCTACAGTAGTAAGACATAGGAAACCAGCACACATCCATGTGCACACGGGCAATACTAGCACACATCCATGTCCACACGGGCAATACTAGCACACATCCATGTGCACACGGGCAATACTAGCACACATCCATGTGCACACGGGCAATACAAGCACACATACATATGCATACGGGCTGCAATACTAGCACTGCGTAGACTGAGTAGAGCATACACACACTACAGACACATGATGATGCTAGCTAGCACCACTAGGAACCTCTCGCTGTACAGCCACAACACTGTTATACTGAACACAGGCTGCAATCTGCCATGGCATTGTTTAACCATTGGGGTCTATATCCACGGAGATTTACTCTTTCGCAGTGATTGCCAGGCAGGTTCAAGGACAAAATTACTCTACGTACCGACTAGCAGAGTTGTAGCCATCCTTCATCACTCCCATCATCGACCTTTCGCCTGTCCGCGTGAAATCACCCTGAACGAGCAAAACAAGATTAGCAAAATAAGCAAAGCGAAGAGAAGGTGGGCAAAGCTAACCGACACATTGCAACTCACACACACACACACAATACTAGCTGCTACTAGTATTTGCCATCCTTGCCACCACCGATCATCACCAGTTTCCAGCCTGGACTTTCATTTTGGTCGTATTAGTACACCGGGACATTCAACAGCAGCGAAGAGCGGAGAACATCATATTTAAACCCGGCCCTTTCTAACACTAACGACATACAATTACGTTATACAGTCAGACCTCGCTTAACCGCACACATCCGTTTTCCACAAAAATGTCCGGATAGGCGAGGGAACCGGATAACCGAACACCGGTTATGTAGGATGCATTGCATATGCTGTAGATCTGTAACCAGCTATTTTCTTCGCGGATGGCGAAGGATCCGGATAAAAGAGGACCGGATAAGCGAGGTCTGACTGTAGCTGTAGATTCTCGACAATGATAAAGAACTGTCAAGAAACAGAGTAGGTCTCACTGGTCAGCAAGTGTGCAGAGGGCACAACACAATGGCTCCAATGAGTTGATCTAAGATTCAGGCGGACAGAACAAAATTTGGCAGGGCAAAGTTTCCTTTATAGCCGAGCGTTCCAGTCTGGGTTTCCTGAGCTTTCCTCTCCTCCTTCGGCCCACTGGTAGCCCGAACAGCACACATACCTTGAGAGCCGCAGTACCAGCATACTGGCGGCTGATTGCGTCGCCATTGTTCGCCCACATCATCTGAAATGTGGAGCGTGTGGCCGACGGTAGAATGCTGTCGGGAGAGAGTAGGCCAAGCTTGAAGAGCTGCACAAGCCAGTCAACACAGCACACAGTCTTCGTTGCACAAGCAAGTCAACACAGCTCACGCCACTTTCTGCACAAGCAAGTCTACACAGCACACAGTCTTGTAGTTGCATCACGTACAGGCAGCCTGCCTGACTCACTTCTACAAATACGAAAAAAGGCTGGAAAGTGCTATGCCACAGCAGGTCCCAAATATTGTCGAGTAGCTAGGCGGTTTCCGCACGGTAGGGAAGCGTAGCAGTCAGTACAGATTACTGACTGGCATGAGCCATGGGGTGAAGGGACAACAAGTATGCAACACACGGGACTGTCATTATCTACACACCACAAGTCACACAAATTTGTGGATCCAAATGCATGGTCCAATATTGTTTGGTTTACTCCTCAGCCAAGCATTGACATTATCACTGCCAAGCCCCGCTGTTGCCTAGTGTATTTTAGAAACGGGCATATAAAGGACAAGGATAAGCAAGTGAGGGACACTACAGAGTTGGAACTCCAAGTCCCAGCTCTACACTTCTCACGTTCTTTCCCTGCCACAAAACTCACCAAAGTTAACAGCACCCGACGCGCCATGGCACACATGACTACATTAGTCCTATCCAAGCAGTCCATACAGTTGATACGCATTATTCCCAGCTGTTGGCACAGGATCCCTTCTTTATCACGCCTGCATCATCAATTCAACGAGATGAAACACAAAAGTAACACATTCAAGACAAGACACTAGAAGAATGACAAATACTTGATTTATATCAGAATTTCTTCAAAACAGGGTATCAGGAATACGCTGGACTGTTTGAAACGGCCGACTGGCTGCCTCCATGTTGAGAACGATCTCCTACAGTCCATTTCAAAAATATAGACGCATGGTACTTTTGAAATATTTCAAATTTGGCTGGAGCTTTTTGAGAATTTTTTCAGAATATTGCTCAGGTCTTTCCCACAATTACTCTCATACCGGTAGAGATTATGAAGCGATCAGATAACAAACACCCAATTTGGAAATTGTTGTGCACAAAGTGATCACAGATTTTATGTGGTATACATGCTTGCCTAGCGGTTTTTTGAAATCACGCGTCTATCTTTTTGAAACGCACTGTACACACAGGCATGCTGATTGCATGGTAGATTGAAGTTTGTAGGTAATGGTAAGAGGCTTGTTGGAAAGCACATGTCTGAGCAACCAGCATCCAGTACAGGTAATGAGTTGGACGTAGCAGGGACGTAAATAGTTTCTTCTCCATCTTGACGCATCCGAGCGTGGCATCAAAAGATAGAAGGAACGCTGGAGATTAAACGCAAACCCCTTCCCAGCAGTTGTAACATGGTCAAGACAAGTTTTCGGTGTCCCACCTTGGCCCGCAGAACTTAAATGCACCTTCTCAGCCACCACTAGCTTGTTCAGGCAGCGGAATAGAAGACTGCCATGGGGTTGTGAATAGTATTATCCTTTTTTTCCTACTGAGTATCCATGGGAATTTTGTACATCACATTAAAAAAATCCAGAGGGCAGCCATGGAAAGAATAGGAGAAAACCGGGCGGAAAGGGCAATGAGGAAAGCTGTAGAAAAATGCAGGGCCATCTCTCACCAGCAGTAACGATGACTTCGGATTATGGGATCTAGGGCATCCACTAGATTCTCTACGTTTTCAAAGTGCATGCCCTTGCTGCAAAGAATGACCAAGAACAATCGGACACACACACACGCGCGCGTGCACACACACACACACACCAAAACATGTGCAAATATTCACAGCAGATCACAACACTGTCACACCACAGGCGTCCAGTTAGCTGTACAGCAGCAGCAGTAGACATACCTCCATGTTTCCTCTAATCATGGTCTTTGGCAACCCCACTACGCCTCCTGCAGGGTAACAGCTTCTACAAATTTCTAACAGTCTAAACACGGGTATAGGAACAAGATATGAATGGATTTCCGTGTTCTTTGCGGTGGACTAGTGGCATGTAAGTCACGGGAAAAGAAAGGCTTGTCTGCATTGGTGTTTGTCTGTAACAGCAGAGTACGGTGCTGCACTGGGCCATGATGTCATGATTAGATCACTATTCAATACCACGCTGCCAGTACTAGTGCCAGTATCACTATCAGTAGAAATACCACTATCCGCCTGCACAGCACTGTGGGGGGGGGGGGGGGGGGGCCACACAGGACTTGATAATAGCCGGCTGGCATGGTATACACATGTAGTAACCTTTGTTCACACTTCCAATGGCTATTTACCTTGACTGGTTCTTCACTTTCTGTATCACACTAAAAGGTGTTCTATTGAAAGCACACAGACTGCCACTAGCAGGATCAGTATCGGTGCCCGTGCAGCAGCAGCAGCAACTCACCAATGCTCATGAAAGTCGAACGAGATGAACAGCGAATCATCATTGTTATAAAGATCCATGTGCTTGACGAATGCATCCGCCATAATCTAAACAAATAGCAGCAGGCATGACAAACACGGCGCAGAGAAAGAAAGTTAGGAACAATGACTCGGGGTGATGTTCAAGTATCAAGTGTCCAAAAAATTCATGGTTTGCGTCAGACTCGGCTAGACCTACATGTAGTTTTCAGCGTCCGTAGGAACGCCACCACCCTCACGGATCAAGGCTCACACGCAGGTCCTAAAGCGGTGGGAAGTGAGTAGATCAGACCCACCACCAAAGTGGTCGAAGCGCTCACTTTATCGATAACGGGTGCTAAATAGATGTAAGGTCGGACAGTAAAGGGTTTAGGGATTGAATAGGATCCGGTCAAGAGGTCATCTAATCGTACACTGGGTTAGCTTGTTCTTAAACTTTCAATATTGCTTTTTTTACTTCTATTAATGAGTATTATACATTCTGAATAAACTAGTGTCCGTAGCTTCAGTAGTCCATGTTCCTACTTCTTAAAAGGCTGCATCTTCATCGGGCTCCATATTCTCGAAACCCAAGCCTAGTTAGTTACATGCAGTGCAGGATAATCAGCCCAAAAAACGTCAGACACTGGACTGGTCCTGTGGGCCCCGAGTCAGGCAGTCTTGATCCAACGGCAGACACATGCACACACGCACGCACACACACGCACAAACAACCCACCTTTTCACGGCCGTGCTGCTCAACAAGACTGATGACAGCCTATATTACATCACAAAGCACGTGGGCAAAGGAAACAGATAAAACACAGAATTGGGTCCTAATCTAAGAGCAAAACGTCGACTCCACTGCAGCCACTGCATCTTGCTCACAAAATCACACATCCAAATTTTCGAGCCGGGCCTAGTGTCGGCAATGAAAGTCTAGTTTAATATGGGTTATTATATCTCACAAATCCTATTCTAATTGTCCGCAAACTACAACGCAGCCACTTACATTAAGGAAACTTCACTTCTCAACTCCAAACTCCAAAAACGGTCTCTTCACTGCGATTAAAATTAAAATTTACATTACTGGTGTAAATGTAAATTTGAATTCGAATCGCAGCCAAGAGATCGTTTTAGAGTTTGGAGTTGAGAAGTGAAGTTTCCTTAATGACAAATCCTACGTGAAAATAACACTAAAGCAAAGCATGGCGCAAACAATAGGAGTAGCAAACATACACGAAGCAAACTGGGAACAAGAGCACAATCACCAGACTGCTTGCAGCATCACACTTTTTCAGCAGAGAGTAAACATGCACACAACGAATGCGCACTCGCAAAGCTTGGCACACAAACTGAAACTTTTACACGTGTCTAAACAGCGCCCAACAATCGCCAACGACTGTCCATGTTTCCTACCAGCTTCCTCTTTCAAAGCCTTCCTCTTTCAAGGCCTTCCTCTTTCAAAGCCTTCCTCTTTCACGTCTTCAGTCACAGTTTCAGCTTGTCACTCACATGTTCCATTTGGGCCAAGCTTTGTGATAGTGCCAAAATTCCCACGCAATAACACTTACCACTTTCCCGTACTGGGATAGCTGGTCATCAAAATGCTCCTTAAAGGCTTTCTGAGACTCCTGATCGCCTGCGCAACACACAGAGAATGCCAGGCAGCATGAAAAAGGATATAGTGTTACAGTCCTGCATTTCAAAACTATAGACGCGGCGTACCTAGGCAAAAACCGTTATGCCAGCATCTATACCACATACAATCTGTGATCACTTTGTGCATAAATTTTTCCAAATTGGGCGTCTGTTATCCAATCGTTTAGAAACTATATGAGAGTAATTGTGGAGCGGTCCTGAGCAATATTCCGAAAACTATTCTCAAAAAGTTCCAGCCAAATTTGAAATATTTCAAAAACCCTACGCGTCTATAGTTTTGAAATGCACTGTAGCAGCCACTACAGTAAAACAGAGCAGTATTGATAGAAAAGGTTGCATCTGCTGAAGAGCAAGACAAGTTAGTTGTAACAGAGTTTTTAATGTTTTAGTGAATACTAGATACGGCACCAGTCACGCAAACCAATAGAGTTTTTTTTACAGTTAAGCTGTAGGTGCAAAAATGTGGAATAAATGTAGGATCACTATGACAAACTGCCAACATGGGGTTTTCTGTGGTTATCGGAAACAAACTACTAGTAGACTTACTTCGGTCGATTTTGGGAGGCGGGCGATATTTAAGGCCGAGCTGGCTCCAAAACACAGGTATAGAGCCACGGATCTGAACGAACGATACCGTATGCGTCCGGACAACAACAATCTGCAAAGAGAGTGCATGCAACACACATAAGAGAATTCATCAAAACGGACGAGACAACACCCAAAGCCTTTTGAGATTACCTTGCTCCAGTATTCAAACCGCTGAAATCTCCATCTGTATTAATTTATTCTGCTACACAAACAACATCTTTCCGTGTGTGCGTGGTGGGGGGGGGCATAGTTAAATGGTGAACTTGCCCACCTGTTCTGTCTCGACGAAGTTGGCGACAGCTCCTGTTTCGTCGACTCCGCGCCGCAGAAACCTCGTTCCTGCATTGAAGAAGAGAAGCATGCAACAGTGCACGACGGTCGGCAAGAAGTGGCTAAACAATTACCTAGCAGTGCCCAGTGCGATGCAAACCAGCACAAGAAAGTCACCAGCAAGAACGTTCTGTTGGACATTTTCAAACATGAGGAAATCGACTAAAACGAGACAGAGTGCTAAGATGGTGGCAATACCTGCGCGGAAGCGACTGCGCCGTGATATGACATGAAGTGTGAAGCGACTATCGTCCTCCTCAATATCCCCGCCACCAGGACTAGCGCCAGCAGCCTGGCCATGATCGCGCTGCTGATCATCGGTACGTTGGTTGGCTGTGGAGTCGCCGTGGCTCTGCTCGCGGAACACGGAGCGACGCGCAAATCTGCTCAGCGTACTCATTGGATTGGCGCGACCTTGGCTGGACGATTCGCCTTAACATGAAACAAATGTCACCAAACAATACATCCACACACGCGTACACAGACACACACGGACGCACGCACGCATCGCCATGCACAGGCCCGCACACAAATGCCCACATGTAAACACCACTGTTCTCCACCAGCTGAAGGGGCTGGTAGAAGTGTCCAGTCTCACTGGTCACAATTCAAAAATAATGACGCACAGGGTCAGGATTTTTACAATAGGGAGGTTTCGCTCTACGTAATAGATGATATGCCAAATAACGTGCAACTAGACTTGAGAGAGCATCGCACACAAGTTGCATACACACTATACTACAATGTGTACACGGTAGGCCCTGAGCTCTGCAGGAATACAAGTCACAGGCACCCGTACAACTTTGAACTTTGTATGCAACTACTCTGCAATGCCCTCCCAAGTCTAGTTGCACGTTATTTGGCATATCATCTATTACGTATGAAAATCCGTATGTCGTATGCGCCGGGGAGCGAGGGCAACTTTCATACGTAAATCTCTCTACGGATTTCCGTAGGAAAGCTGTTTCCTACGTTGGGTCCTCCGTAGGACTTTTTGAAATATTTTTCGCATTTTCCGCATTTGTCCATGGCGACATTCAAGCCGCGCGAAACACAAGGTACACACAGCGTACACCACGTGCAAAATAAAAAGGGAAACGCGGTTTCGGTTCAGGGTGCATGCGGCGGGCGCATGCAGCCAACGCGTCTCCAAAGCAACAACGCATGTTTAGCAGTCGTGGAGAAATCACGTAGAGCGAAACCCAACAGCTCTGATTTTTACGTATGAAAATTCCGTGCAGTTCCTACGTTATTTTCATACGTAATTCCGTAGAGCGAAACCTCCCTACTGAGAAGACTTTGTCACATTTACATCAATGGAATACAAGTAATCCTAACACTTGCATGCACCAGAAGATGAACAAAATATATCAGAAACTGTCAGTAGGGTAACTCGTGCTCGATGGGCACAAGTAGGCTGTGTATGAGTACTCGTATAGCAAAAAGGTGTTCATTCACATCACTGCCAGGCTGACACACATACCACAACAAACACTCCAGCATGCACGGGTGCTTGTTTACCAGCCAGAAGAACGAGGGATGGAGATGAATAGAGACGATGGATGGGCTGGGAGAGAGTGAGTGAGAGAGAGAGAGAGAGAGAGAGAGAGAGAGAGAGAGAGAGAGAGAGAGAGAGAGAGAGAGAGAGAGAGAGAGAGAGAGAGAGAGAGAGAGAGAGAGAGAGGGAGAGAGAGAGAGAGAGAGGGAGAGAGAGAGAGAGAAAGAGAGAGAGAGAGAGAGAGAGAGAGAGAGAGAGAGAGAGAGAGAGAGAGAGAGAGAGAGAGAGAGAGAGAGAGAGGAGAGAGAGAGAGAGAGAGAGAGAGAGAGAGAGAGAGAGAGGGAGAGGGAGAGGGAGAGAGAGAGACTCACTGGCAGAGGTCGATGCCTGGCCACCTGCACCATCACCACCATCCACAATAGAACATTGATGTGTTTCCACGTGTCCTTGTATGATAGGCATAATCCATTCGTCAAGCAAGCCGTCAGTATGCTAACACAGGACACACAGAGAAGAGCAGGAAATGTCCAATTCAACACATGCGTGATAAACACTAATGCAATGAGGTCTACAAACTACTGTAGTTGCATAGGACTCCTGACCAAATCAGCTACCAAGAATTCAGTCTGGCGTGGAGGAATCATCTACCAAGACGTCGGTTTGATGTGGAGGAAATAGCTAGATTTAAGTTCTGACTTGGCCAGGATGGAAGGTGTGAAGTACTGTGCCACCCAGCTAAGGCTGACAAGACCTCCCCCTCCTCAAAGCTGCTCAGTGCAAGCTTTGGCATTTCTAAAATGTTGCAAAATTAAAGTCAGGAGGCCAACACCAGAGAGTGTCAGACAAATTTCACTGCTCGCCCATGAGCAGTGCGTGAAGTCAAAATCATTCCATACAAATTCGCACACAAGGACTTGCATTGGAGGACACTTGCAGAACCGATTCCATGACAGTTTTCAAAGCACCGACGATTACTAGTGCAAAGTACTGTATAGAAAGTCAGATCAGAAAGCAGCGTTCTGCTCTTACTAGTGACTCCGCTTTGAGCAAGTCTGTTAGCATGTTCTTGTTCCAGAAGAAACGATCATCAGCCTGCAGTAGAATGCGACATAGAAGCAAGATACAAAGCTCTGCACAACACACACACACACATCACTGAGGAAGGCAGGGACGAGCTAGCAAGCACTGAGGGTAATGCAGCTCATGATACGGAGACGATGACAACAGCAGGTCAAAGAAAAGACCAAGTGCAACATCAAACGGCCAACCCACCTACAAATTGAACAGGTGTCCATCGGTACCCAACATCACTCTGCGCCCAAATCCAAAAAGAGTTCGCTCAACGTTGAATGGAACCTGTATTTCAATGGCATGTTTCACTTTGTGCTAAAATGCACCGTAACTGATTCAAGTAGTGTGCACGGAACCCAAATTGGTGATCGTGGAGGTGATTTTCGATGGTCAAACTGTCACATACCTGATTTAGAACCAGGCGCTCCAGAGTCTTAGCCAGAATCGACGTGAGTGACACAGGACAATAGTTCGAAGGAGAAGTAGGATCGCCCATAGTCCATGAACTTAAATAGTGAAACTTCAGTATCAAGTACCCTGGATATGACATACTTTTCTCTTTGCACTAGATACATGAAGTACTTTTCAAGGCCACTGCATATCCTTTTCCAGTCATTCAATTCTTGGACATACATACGAGTACAGTAGAACCTTGGCTATATTACAAGTACATACGAGTAGATGTTATAACACTTGGAGGTAAGGTATACTGAGGTTCACAGTACATGTACTTAAACATGTACATGTCATATCGCTTGTGGTGATGCATCGGATCTTGTGGTAAACTGGCGGAAAACAGAAGGGTACACTATAGCCGATACAGACTGCATGTGGACGCATACTCATACCCAACATCTCAATGGTGGTTATCGTAAAACCAGTTCTGGCATACATGGGAGGAAGAAAATAATAGGCCATATGTGCTCCACATTGGACAAGATCCACAACGTACCCGTTTCCAAATTGGCAGATCAGCATTGTACGACGGATCACCCATCCGCTGAACGCTGCTTGTTAAATCATCGTTGGGGCAAAAGAAGAAAGATTCACTATTGAACATCTTCAGAAGCTCCTGCAAGCATTGTGGCAAAAAAAGCATAACAGACAATGAAATGGTTAGGGTTACACCAGTGCCCACCAAGCAATACATTGCACACAGCAACTTTGGAACACAATCATGACACATAGCAACCATGCATGCAATGACCTCCTCATCCTAACTACCCATGCAATTCTCTCCACAACCCTGTAGAGTCTTGTACGTGCACCAAGGTAAATACCACCTTCAAAGATGTCAGCAAGTGCACACACACACACACACACACACACACACACACGCACACACATGCACGTGCATGCACGCACACACACACACACACACACACACACACACACACACACACACACACACACACACACATATAACTAGCCATGTAAACCCCACCTCAAGCAAGCGCTTCTCAATTTTCTCCAATTCCTTCTGCTCTTTCTGTGATCATGAAAGCAGAGAATGACACAGCAAAAAAAATGAAGCCAGTAAGAACGGACAAATGATAGGACAAACCTGGACAAACATAAAGATTAGACTAGGGGAATCAACAACTGATCTTGAAATGAAGAAGAACAGTACACAGTGCGACATGCGGCCGGCATGGGTGCTCACTTGCCTTTGGCTTTAGTGTTTGACTTGCTCGGTACGTGCTCAGAGTCTGCAGAAACGCCTTCTGCCGTGGGTTGTTCAAGCGCTTCAGTCGAGACTTCTGGTTCACTAGCTGAGACTGGTTATTAACCTGTGCCGTTCACACATGCACACACGCACGCACACACACACACACACACACACACACACACGTGCACACACATGTGCACACACACGTACACACACACACACACGCATGCACACACACACATAGGCAAACTACAGCAAGGGAGCAATAGAGGTCCTTGCTGAATTCCATTTGCACTGCAGCAAGTACGATAACCAGGTACATGTATTCGGGAGTGAGGCATTACTCAGTTGCAATTGTACATGATTTGATGGAATTTTCAAAACTCTCTCAACTAAAGAAAGCACACTGGATCATGAAGCTGGGGATTCCTCTTCCCCAGAAATGTCTTTTCCAATTTCAGATTCATGATGCAAAAAGCATCCATATTCAAGACCACTATGTTCACATGCACGATATATGTGAGCACAACTGCACATCCGTGCATATGTGTGTGAGTTGCGACCTGTTTCATTCAGATCCTGTCCGCTATCGTTGCTATAAGAGAATATCCGTGAGTGTGCATCCAGTGCATTTGCAGATTTGCGTGTGGCATATTAATTATTATGGTACTGGTGGTGGGTGATGGTGTATGTGTGTGTGTGTGTGTGTGTGTGTGTGTGTGTGTGTGTGTGTGTGTGTTCCCGACGATTATGGTCGCACACGTCTTTCTTCTCTTTCTCGGACTCTTCCTGACTTTTCTTTCATTCTCCTGGGTGGTTACCAACAGCCAGTGTATGCCGGAGTGTTTGGTGTGGTGTGTGTGTAGAAAAAAATGAAAATAGGGATTCACTGGCCAGAAAAAGTCACTTCAATCAGCTGTGTGGTGGATACCAGGCTAAAAATAGTGGCGGTCAATTCATCAGTCTTGCAAGCTGTTGAATGGTGTAATCCCAGCACAAGTTGCTATATGTCTAACATAGCTGTTCGCTATCATCGCTTCCGCGATGGGCCGGTCTGAGGTGAGGTGTGTGTGTGATGTGTGTGTATGATGATGTGTGTGTGTGTGTGTGTGTCTAACGTTAGCTTGTGCAAAGGTATTCAGCCTGCAAGAAACAGACATACGTCAAGCTCTAGCTCGCTAGCATCGTCCGGTGCCATGGAAATAGCCGCAGCTCTGTCGATGCGGTACATGGAGTGACCATTGACATTCCTGCCCACTGGTGTTCGGTGAGAAATAAGCAAAAGTCGCCATTCTCCATCTACAAAGTAGTGAGCAAGAACACACACGTATCGTCTTAGATATACACAATGCACGGTGCCAAAGTGTACCCATCGATCGACGCAGTCACAGAGGGTAGCGTTAATTCTACACACACACATGCACGCACACATGCACGCACACACACACACACACACACACACACACACACACGCACACACGTACGACTGTTAAATGCATTTCGTCAGGGGATTTTGGATCGTTGTCTAATTAGGTTTGTCTTCTGACCGACGTCGTACTAATGAGGGTAGATCTTAATCAAAATTTATCGAGATTCGGTCTGTCGTTCCCGGCAGTTTGTGCCCAAAAAAGTGGTACGCACAGCTGTACGAACAGCGTATACGTTCGTGTGTGAATGCACTTGCACGTAAATGACGTCTGCCAGTTACGTGGAATACCAAAACTTGACGCATATTGCAACGTAGTGTGAAGAGCATAGGGCCATGGGGCCAGGATGAATACCGTATTTTTCGGAGTATAGTGCGCACTTTAGACGTGCTATTTTAGGCCCTAAATCGCAGGTGCGCACTATGCTCCGAATATGAAATGCATGTACTTCAATGAAGATTGAATTGCGCACCCCCAATGAAGATTGGGGGTGCGCATTATACAAAGGTGCGCACTATACTCCGAAAAATACGGTACATGTATAACGGTATGTACTACACGTTACAATCAGTCATGTACATGTTGGAGAGTGGCAGTCAATATTAGGATGTGGCAATGTGAAACTCCTGTTCTCCACCCACACATTCGGGGTGCAGAAGCAACAAATCCAACACGACCACACCATTATTATGGTCATGGCCATGATAATGCAGCACTCACCCGAGAGCAGGCGAATTTTACCAATGCAGCCGTATACAATGCCCAGACTGATAGGCTCCCAAGCATTCTTGAACTCACTCACTGATGAGGACAAGACACACAAAACAAAACGCCAGCTCTGGTCAGGTACACCTTGTCTGGGTGCATCAGTGCATCAATAGACTTCTCCCTCACAGCTGCGAACGATCAGGCGTCCATCCAAACGATTGCACCAAAGGCATGATTCGCGACCTTTCAAAATGAAAGCATCCACAGTCTCGAACAATTCGCATCCTGAATTCAAACCATCCATACTTGGCCTACGGCTTGATAACAACGCTATTTGTCACAACGTAGATATTTCTACCCATTTCTAAACTGAAGTGAAGTGATTATACAGAAGAAATTTATCAAGAGACAACAAGTGGTCAGACACTAACACAGCAACCCAGCAACATCATTGATGGGCCTGACAAAAACGGCGAATTCCAAAGATGTCAAGCGGAAGCCAAAAGCGTAGATCTGGGAGACCTACCTGACCTACGGCATGCGTTCAGCTCAGCAGATAGCTAGCAGATCAGGCAGGCATGGCATATGGATATGCGGCATGCCATGCGCCATGCCATGCCATGCGCTATGCCTGCCCATGCGCCAGTGCAGTTGATTTTATCTACGAATCGATACGGATGGTTTTTTGTAGTCAGGCTGGTAGATCTACAGTACTCAGTAATCTGATATCAAGACTCAAGTTGTCAAGAGTATAGCTCGCATCTTCCCTGAACCTGTTAGTGTTAGACAAGAGCAGAGTCGACGCATCTGTCAACAGTGTCAAGCCAATAATAGTTAGTCTATCTCCTGCAGCTTGGAGAGCGCTCTCCACGGAGAGATCCGCTGCCTTCAGCCTTTTAAGGTCGTGCCGAATCCACCGCAATGGGGGGATACTCTTTTAGATCTTGCTGATATGCATGATAATGGATCCACGTATACGCGCGTATTACGTGTCCACTGACGCGAGAGGAGAAGATTCTACTGTGTCAGATTGTTTTCCATTGTGGCTCCACCTCCTCATCTTCAAGTGATCGATATCACCAAGACAAGAGTACATAAGTCTTGTTATCACCAAGAGTACAGTACTCTGATATCACGAGTGAGCTAAACTTACTAACTAGTCTTAGCTGCAGCGTTGCCTCTACCTGTGTGTGTTCTCTATTATGCCCGTGTGTGCTTGTCGCACTCTCTCTCTCTCTCTCTCTCTCTCTCTCTCTCTCTCTCTCTCTCTCTCTCGGAGTCTCTCTCTCTCTCTCTCTCTCTCTCTCTCTCTCTCTCTCTCTCTCTCTCTCTCTCTCGGAGTCTCTCTCTCTCTGAAAAATGCATGAAAGAGTACTCTGATTTACTCCAAGCACGATTACTTCGGAAAAACACTGAGCCAGCACTTGGTTGTTACATCCCAACTGGAAACATATGTGCAAGTTCCAGGGGCGTACCAGCCGGTCCGGCTTTGGCAGGACCACTCAGTTTTAATAGTTAATACAATGCTTAAAGTGCCCAGAATGCAGGATGTGTGCACCCTAATGTCCGGACGGACCACCTCCAACAGTGTGTGGCGCCACGCGCCCGAGTTCTTATGTAGGAGTGTACTCTTGATATTACACTGAGTATATGGGAGGGGAGGTTTGCCCCCCCCCCCCCCCCCCCCCCCCCCCCAGTCCACGCCTGACAAGTCCCAGCAATGCGTGGGTTGAAAGTACTACCACGCATGTACTGAGCACTGTACATCTACTTGCTGTACCACATGGCTTTTCTGGTTACCTGTTTGGTGCCAGCCACAACACTCAAATAATGATTACTTCAAAGTAAAAAAATCCTTAAAAAATCAAACTTAGAAAGGCTGCGTTCGGAGTACATGTACTATTTAAGTTTCAGTGTTTAAAAAAAATCCTATCACACGTGTAATCTCACTTTGCAGCCTCACGTAAAACTCTTGTCAGTCAACCAAATGGTACAGCCCAGATAACGGACAGCTAGAAATAACAAAAGACTGAAGTCGAATATGTTGTTGCTCTGAGACCTGCCAGAATCAACGGATTTGGGTATAAATAGGGAGAAATACGGTATCAGACACTTGACTTTAGTGGCCATTGCTTGAGATACTTCAAGTAACATTACGATGAAAGTTGAGAAAGGGGTTCCATCCAGTTGCCAGTAGATGTGATCAAAGTTAGCACTGTACCTGTACGATGCACACGCTACAGGGTTTTGGGGCAGAAAATGCTACAAGCGGTCCAACGCAGATCTCACACTTCAGCTCGCTGCAGCTTTTCGATTTCTTCCTCCGTGAGGTTTTCCTCGGTGTTAGCCGACTCTTCGCATTTCTTGACAAAGTTTTCATCTAACAAAGATTCGTGCCAAATTTCGAAATTGTACAGAAAGTGCCTGTCCTGCGTCATCGCCATCAATTGCACTGGCTGACGATTGAGATGGTTGATTAGCTTGAACTGCTTGAATGTCATATCCACAGTCCATGTTGCCGCATTCATGCGGTCCTGGTAGAAATCAAATGTGTACACTAGGTCGGGCTGGAAGGTAAATTTCTCCGCGTCCGCCTTGTTGGACAGGAACCGCTTCCGCTGTGCAGATGTCATGCCAGGGTCAGCAACAAACGCCCCTCCAAGCAGCCGCGTGTTTTCTTGAATCTCCGAGCGAACGTCAGGCTCTTCACCTTCCCTGGACACATCCAATACCTGTGCCGTTCCAGCCAGTGGACTTATGGCATACGGACTATCCGATGACATGTCAAACTGCACGCCGGGCGACAATGCTCGGATTATCTTTTGTGCCGCTTTCACGATGGTTGGATGCGGGATGCCTTTCAGGGGTCGGTTGAGAGCCTGCCCAGTCATTACCTCCGAAAGGTTCATAGGCTTCTTGAATTGGCCTTGCACCACCGCTTGCATTTTACGGCGTTTCCCTTTGAAGTAATCCTTGGGCACATCACTGGTGTCTGCTAGGCGCAAATAGCAACAACCTGAGAATAGATCTGACTCAAATTTGAACGGGCCAGCCTCATTCATGGGCAAGTTGTCATCGGAGTAGCCTGCACCAATTGCATGAACATTAGGTGCAAACGGCGATATTCTCAGTGAACATGGTCGGTGAGGCCAACACTTCGGACAAAATGCTGGTGGCGAAAATGGATCTGACATCACCACATGAGTTTCTTCCAAGCGAGATCAATAACGAACTGTAAAAGTTGACCGTACACTACTAGCAGCAGGTCCAGCATCTAATCGTAAGTAACTAATTGAGGTACTAGTATTCTGTTCTATACCAGTGCTCCCACGAAAATATCCGTCCTTTGTCTAGACAAAAATGGCAAAGCACGCCTGATTGCCAACTGCGCGAGTGGTTTCTTTCTACTTTATAACAGCTAGCTGGCATGCATGGCACGTAACAGTTGTGACACTGGCCGGCAGCAAGCCAGGGACTAGTAAGAAACAATTATAAATTTTACGACTGACAAAAGAGACCTCCTCTCGAGCTAGTTACTACAGATCCAGCAGCGTTTCCGATCCAGAACCAAGCCTGGTCCCGACACGACGATGCAAGAATGCTGACTTCTACTCTGATGATACTACATTGTACATACGGCAAATAATAATTCAACCTACTTATTTAGACCTACTCTAATTTGAAGACCTACAAAGATCAGTTATCTCAACAAACAAAAGTCAAAACTACTTGTAGTCTTTCTTGCAGGAAGTATGCTGCTCTAGCTAGCTGCACGCTGTTTGAAAAATGAGAGGTGTGCACGTGCAGTCGTGCACTCACTACAGTGCATTTCAAAACTAGCTATAGACGCGTAGGGTTTTTGAAATATTTCAAATTTGGCTGGAACTTTTTGAGAATAGTTTTCGGAATATTGCTCAGGATCGCTCCACAATTACTCTCATTATAGTTTCTAAAGGATTGGATAACAGACGCCCAATTTGGAAAAATTTATGCACAAAGTGATCACAGATTTTATGTGGTATAGATGCTGGCATAACGGTTTTTGCCTAGGTACGCGTCTATAGTTTTGAAATGGACTGTAGGCCCAAACACTAGAGTCAGATCCTGCCGGCCGGCAATTCTTTCGGCAAAATATCGAAGAATTGAAAGAGCGGAAATTGCCGGCAAAATCGGAGCAAAATATCGAGATGTTGGGTAAAATCGATGACTGATACTTGGATTTCCTTGTTTCTTACCCGTTCAGCAGGCCACGCTGCCCAGGACGAGATCAGGTCACCGAAATATCACTGGGATTCACTGTGGATCGACATGATTTTGGAAGAACTCAGGGACACGTGCTTGGAAACCCGGCCGTGTTGAGAACCGACCCTGCGATTTTTATGAAACGTTGTACGGGATTGTACGGGAAAAGGATAACATACACGTTTCTCCGGAGCAAAATGGAGCAAAATATCGAGTTTCTTGTGCCAGGCTCGGCAAAATATCGAAGATTTCGCAGCAACATTTTGCGGCAAAATATCGAGGCGAGCGGAGCAGAATCTGTCTGGGCCTAGCACTCACCGGCGTCACCGCCCATGGTCACATGCACAATGCATGTACGGAGTAGGCTATAGCTCAAATGTGCTCCGGGTGCTTCGATATTTTGCTGGCAACTTTTGCCCAAGCACTTTCCATATTTTGCCTGGCATTGCCTCTCGTTTCCGATATTTTGCTCCATTTTGCTCCTGCTTTGTGGCAAAAATGGCTTCGAATGAACCGTCTACTTCGGTAAAAGTGGATGGTGACTCTGATGAGGAAAGCAAAACTGAAAATGGTGTCAGTATTACGGATTTTGTAGCATGATTTCAAATTTATGTACCCCTGACTAGGCCTTGACGGATTATGCTAATATTTTCGTGAAATTATGCTTTTCGCATTGCTGAAAAAATTGCAGAATTATGCTATTTTTATGCTAAAAGCTATACATATTATGCTGTATTATGCTCACATATGCTGCTAATGTATATGATGGTTCTGTGCAAAATAACAGGGGAATTTTTTTGTAGAGGGCGCTGTACTGTAGTAGCAAAAGTTCAACGGGGTCAACGCACTGTCCGACCTAGCTACGACCGTCACTGATTGTAGTGGACTGGACATGTTATTAAGGGAGTCGTAAACCTACGACTTCCTGATGCATCAACTTGTACTTGTACTTGTAGAACATGTACAACTGTATGGAATTCGATGCGAACAGGCGGATTATTCCAATTTATGCGATTCGTATGCAATTTGCCTCGAATTATTCGACTATTCGATTTTGGTAGGAATTATGCGAAAAATTATGCTAGCAGAATTAATCCGTCAAGGCCTACCCCTGACAACCTGCACGAGCTATTTCAGCACGACGTTAGCGGCCCAATGAAACCAAAGAAATTAGAATAGAATTGCCAAAACACATCCGGATCCTCTGTAAATTCGATAATTTGCTCGGAATTTGCCAGGAATTTCTTTTCGTGAGAAATTTTGATATTTTGCTGGAAGAATTGCCGGAAAATTTCGGCTAGGCCTAGTACGGAGCTACATGTGGCTACATCATAGTACAATCATGTAGCTGGAAATCGCCAATCAGCTACATACCGTACTCGTACTGTATAGACTTCTTCCTCTTTTTTTTTTGAAGTACGCGTACAGGATTTATTTCCGGCACATTCAGGCTCTCCGCGGATCCGCCTTCTCTGTGAAATAATATTAATTTAAAAAAAGGGTTCTGCGTTCCGGCTCTCCGCCTTCTCCGCGGACGGTGAAGAAATCTGAAAATGGGTTCAACATGATACAACTCCCATGCATGTACACGACCGATTATTACGGTAGTATTACTTTTTTTTAATAAGTTTTTATAAAACAAATGGGAAGCGTGTCCTCGAATGACTGAAGGCCATGTGTGCATCTATGCTGCCCACGCCCGATGATGTACCAGTTGAAGAAGAACATACCCGCCAAATCTGTTGAACCAAACGTTTTCGGTCCCTTCGAAATGGGAGGAGATAAACATCACGATACAGGTGTGAAAAGGCTAGCGGGTCAAAACCCGCATTAAGATGGAAAATAACTTACTTAAATAAGTTAACACTCACTGTCTCCGATCAAACGTATCAGAGGGAACCCCTTCATGATTCTTAGCACTCACACGGGGACTCTGCTACGGTAACACCAAGAAATTGAAGAGATAATATATTTTCCTTCTGAACACATACATGTAACTCAGAGGACAACTTACGAATGTACAACGCCTCTAAAGCAGCCAAGTGCAACTTGGATCTACCACAAGTCAACAGAAATACATGTACATCATCACCGAGGCTATACAGCTCACGACCGCTACCACTACGTGTATTTTTGATGTGCCCTTTTAGACTGGGGTGGACGGCGCAGAGGCATGGACTTTTTTCTTATGATTGTCCGTACCCCTCGGGGCGGGGGCACCCGGGGCTGTCTCCTCCATGGGGTTTGGATGAGAGTGTTCGGGTAAGGGAGCAGCCACACATCCATCTAAAACATGCACACTCCTCAGTTCATGTTTTCAGTATTACTTGCAGCCTGCTAGCGCGCGTTCCTGTCACTCGAGTTGAGCCTTGGTGTGAAAGTTATTTGTTAGTTGTAGCCTGCAGGTTTAATAGCCTCGGACATAGCCCGAGTTTGCTAGCAATTCCGCTAGCAAAATATCGAAGAATTTTGACAAGAGAATTTGCTGGCAAAACGGAGCAATATATCGGTATGTTCGCTGGAAAGTGGGACGGATTTTACACTTACAATCTTACAATGTATACGGTGCAGGTGACTCGTTTTCGCACATTTTGCCAACACGTGACTCATCTTTTCTCATTTTTGCCAACACGTGACCCACTCTCGGTCAGTTTTCCCTCACGTGACACAAATTTGGCCTTGTATTGGAGCAAAACAGGAGCAAAATATCGAGTGGCCTGGCCTGACAAAATGAAAGCAAAATATCGACGATGAGCCTGCAAATTTTTTAAGTAAAATATCGAAGCTTCAAGAAGGGCCAATCTCGTTCAACCGTGATTTTCATGATAAGAATGAAATGACGCTTTTAGTGACATCTTGCATATAAATCCCCATCTCAGAGTAGGGTTCAGTCGCCCAATTTCGTTGGAAGTGCTAGTGACGCGTTCGATTGCGCAATCTGGGATGAAGGGAGTGTCTCAGCTTCCTCGGACCATGACCATTTGACTCAGCACCCCAAAGAGTACAAGTAATGAAATTTTGATTCCAGACCATACCTCCCCTTTTTGTGCTTTGTGCTATCCCTGCTTTTTGTGCACATGTACTGCGGAAGTTTGTTTCATGGCATGCATGACACGTGACTTCACAACAGCGCCGTCAGAAAAATTGAAAATGACAACCCCCGGCCCGGCCTGGCATTGCTGGGCCTATATGGCGCGAAAATGCTGCCTCAAATGAATGAAGGCTGATTGACTTTGAAAAACTGTAGATCTACCTTTGATCGCCTGCCAAAACCAAAGGGATGGATACCTTGTGCATTGGCTGGAGTGGGTAAAGGAGTTTCAAGCATTGAAATCAACCAATCATTTACTGACTGTGCGCAAAATACAGTAGTTGATCCGTGCATTGAGGGAACAGGTTAGACCGGTGTAGCGTTGTCTGGTGTCAAGTGCTGCTATACTAGTAACTCATTCATCCTCATTCCGAAACAGATGATATTTTTTACTTGTAGTTTGCCAGGAGTTTTTTTTTTTCGGTCGGCCAGAAGTAGCATTTTACCGCGTCTACAACAGTGCAGTGTACCTACCGTGATTGACTACATCATGTACCCGTAGAAGTTACCAGCAATAGAGAGAAAATAGTACTATACCGGTAGTCTTTACGGTATCATTATTCTATTATTTCGTAGCTCCTATAGCTATCGTTAGCTGCCGGAATCTCACCTGCGTCTTTGCGAAGTCGTCCTCTCACCAGCCGAACTCTGGCTCCAGTGTACCATGGTGTACGAGTAGCAGTGTATCTTTGTGGCGGCGACTCGACTCCAGTGCGACCGCGCTCACCAGTTATTGATCATTAGCCGCATCCGGCAACATAATCATTTGACCGGTGCAAGAAGGCTACGCGAGGGACATACAAATAATATTCAGACGATGACCCAGTGTTGACGTTTGTTTTTGGGCGATTACGAGGGTCCGGGAGAGGTTGTTCGGTTTGTGGTCCCTGCCAGGTGACTGCATGCAGCCTTTGTATCGTTGACGTTGGTCTACGTAGCGGTCAGCTGGCTGTGGTCGGAAGTCACAAAGGGACATCATGCAAGGCCGGCCATCGTGGTAATTCAGGCCATCATCAGGGTCAGGTCAGTCACAGACGCCGCGGAAAGATTAGGTGCTGCTCCCGGCTCCCGGTGTGTGCTTCTTCCGCTAGGATCTTCCGCTGACGAGATAACCTTACCAATCGGGCGTGTTTGATTCGTTGGGACGCATCTGCGACTCTGCCTAACTACTTACTGCGACTACGTGCACTGCACGAAGCCACGTGGTGGGCCTAGTAGTAGTACTTTGTAGATATACCAGTCCTGCTTCCAGGCGATTACAGACATCCGTCAAGTTCATTCAATCGAGTCTATTTTCGAATCAGGATCCCAAAGACCATACTTATACAACAGTGCTGTATCATCGGACAGGGTTACCAGGTGACTACCATGACCACTGGAGGAAGACACTACTCTGCCGTTCCTCAGGTAATAATGCTTGGTGTATTGATCCCATGCATGACTGTGTTCGGGGACGATGAATTTCAAGTAGCTGCATGCTGATTACATTGAGGTCACAATAGGTGCGTAAATTGGTTCCAACATTGATCTAAGAAGCCCATGGCATGCACTGATACAATGCAGTGTCGTTTGCAAATCATTACAACAAAAAATACCTGTGTTTTGATAATCAGTCCTCGACTAAAAAACGTCAACTGAACCAGTTGGTGCTTCCCATGCTGAGTACACATAACGCTAGTGGTTATAGAATAGCCATGATAACGTGCTGCCCTGTAAAATTTGACCTTATGAATAAAGCAGCACTGCATGCATTCTCAGGCTAGTACACAGAATGCTACTTGAAATAGTACCAGAAGAAGTGCAGTGCTTGTGGAGCTAAGCAGCCTTATAGCACACGCTGCCATTATACTCATGAGTTCCAATTCCACTGCAGGCCAATATTTTTTCGATTGCCTGGCTAATTCCGAGGCAGGTTCGTGCATGCATGAGTACCTTAGAATCGGGCCCATGTGCATCCAAAAGGAGGTAGACCGGGGTCCCCTCAATGAGCGAACTACAATGTAACTAATTACTTGTTAATCAATAATGTGCCCCCCCCCCCATCTTAACATGAACATCCACGGTTGTTGCATTCCCCCTCCCCATTCAATGTCTGGCTCTGCCCCTTGACCTCGTGTCCGATATGGACACGAGTGAGTCATACTCATTTGAGGATTCTCTGCACACCAGTGCAATGCCGACGATCCGCCAGGTCAAGCCCAGGTGAAGGTCAGCCTGACTCAGCCCAGAGTTACCTGGCGTGAGAGCCATGATTACCGAGTACATGTATCATGTATGTACTGTATAGTATACAATGGGACAAGCCATTGATGTTGTGTGGGCTGTTGTGGGGGAAGTAGCACCGGGCTGATCCAGGCGCAAAACCCACATAGGGCACGTAGGGGGGGGGGGGGGGGGGGGGACTTACACCCCCTAAAAAATCGACCTACGTCCAGCATGCACATAATGACCATGAATGACATGCACCAGCCATCCTACACGTATGGGGCTGTGCACCCCCCCCCCCTCCCCCCCCCTCCCCCTAAAAGGGGAACCAGCTACGCTCCTGCAGTGATCAGTCAGACCTGAATGATGTTCCATGTTATATTGTGCTGTTGTACATGTACAATTTGTACATACATTCCCATACTTACTATAGCCATACAGCGATGAAGCCTGCCATTCAGAAATTCCCAGCAGCTTTAGTCCGGCTGTCAGGAGTGCTTGCCAAAGTCACTCATTGACGACGCAGATATTTGGGTGAGTTGGCGTAGAGCTGATCCGTGTTGCGACCCGAAGTACTTTTAACATGCAATATCTGTACTTAGTAAAGGAGACATTTCATGCCAGGCAGGGATCTGAACCCACCCAGGATTATGTCTGATGCAGTCCCCTGGGACACTTAGCAGCTAGAATATACTTATGGGATAACTATAAAGCAGCTCTTGTTAACGACCATTGACAGATGCATGGCCCCATAAACTTCAGTATTTTGTTTTGAACGGGCAATATGTGAATTAGTTCCCCCTCAATATGCGACCTGTTTAAACACCGATGATGTTTGGCAGGACTCAATTTGAACTGTGCCCATGCAATGTATGCTATGCCAGTAGTGTCTTCAGGGAAGTTCAACATCATAATAACTTATAATGTACTGCATGCATACAATATCGACATACATGTTCAGGATGTGCATGACGTGCCGTTTATCATTGTCTTCTTCACGTTTTCAGGGCAAAAGTTATCGTACTGGGAGATAGTTCCGTGGGCAAGACCTCATTAATCCGGAGGTGAGTCTCCCTTACCTAGGATGGTATACTATAGTCTATAAGATGGTCAGGAGTAGTCCAATGTTGTAACGGGCCGTCCATAATTGTTGCCTTTTTTCATGATGAAGTTGTGGCAGCGACCGGCAATCTTTTTATAAGGAGGTTGGGTGCTCGCCACATTTAAGCTCGCGCTTTTCCCACCGACCTAACTTGACACTTGACTGACTCACGACTGCCATCCAGAGCATACGAGAAGCCCGTCGAACCGTCCACTCGGCAAACCTGCCAGAAAGCACCACTCCCTGCTCAATACACAGTGTTTCGGGGAGTCTACCCCTCCTCAGTTGAGCTTGAGTAGCCGAGCTGATAAAGATTGTGCCTGAAGAGTACCACATCGACCTTTCTGTGTTTGTGCATGCACTTGTGCTGTTTCGCTGTCAGGTTTGTCAGCCGGACATTTGAGTGCAGTTACAAGGCTACCATCGGGGTGGATTTTGAGGTTCAAAAGTTCTACTTCCTCTCCAAGCAGTTTGACTTGCGGATGTGAGTTGCCAGCTAGTGTGCATGGTGTATTCTTGTCAGAGTTGCGGCGAGGCATGGGAGTCCACCGATCAAGGGATCTGGGTGTCACTGCCGCTCGAATGCATGAAAAGAATGATAATGATTAACAACATGTACGTCGAAGTACATGTGAAGATGGGGGGAGAGGGGGGGGGGGGGGGGTGCGCACACGTGAGTGTGTGTGTGTGTGTGTGTGTGTGTGTGTGTGTGTGTGAGTGTGTGTACATGTGTGTTCATGTGCATTTGTATCCGTGTGTGGATGCATTGGGGTATGTGGTGGTTGAATTGTGCTGTGCCCCCGGTTTGCTGACGAGCATATGCATGCTAACCGTGACCTACATCGCGATTTGGACTTCAGCTGACCTCTCGTTGATATTGCTAGGCCAGCTGATCCCTCATCCCTGATTGAAGCGACGAGATCTAGTCGGCTGGGTTTGACGGGTAAAGCTAAAACAGGAACGATGGGCTAACCAGCTGTCATGTGACCCATTCTGGAATGTCACTTTTGTACGACTGCATGGCTGACTTGCTTGTCTTATGATATATCTGGCCGTGTTGATGCTTGTGCAGTTGGGACACAGCGGGCAACGAACGTTTCAAAACAATAACATCAGCGTACTATCGAGGAAGCAATGGTTAGTTTAACTTAGTTAATTTCCCAATTGCATATGCTCGGTACTTGAAAGAGAAATTTTCCTTCTTGCATGCATGGGGATTCGATGTTGGTGTCTATGCATTTTGCGGCCTTCATTCAAGCACAGTTTTAATGCAGCAATTGCAAGCATACGAGTACGCGTATACGCTTGTTTTGTTTGTGCGCCTTTGGCCTTGCAGCGATCATACTTGTCTATGATGCAAGCAAGCCAGAAGATACTCTGCAAAGCACAAGGTAACTTAGTGCAGCATATCGGACAAGCAACACAGCAGAACCTGGTTAATCTGGTTATCCGCAGCTTGCCTAGTGCACTCGGTGTGCTGAAAACAAAGTATGGTAATCAGCACCCGAGACGATCTTGTCTTCAAAAATGAAGGACTGGGTGTGACACTTTTTGCGGAAGAATCTTCTGCTAGGCTGTGCATACATGAGATATTTCAGCCCGGGTTGAGTTTCGACAAACCGCGTACACAGATTGATTGGAGCATTGACCTGATGTATTGGGCTTGGCCCGGGTTGATTGAAAAAAGTAAGTTGTCAACTTGTCAACCATGAAAAATAGTATAGAAATGCTCAATGCAGAACCTCTTGCAGTAGGACGGTTGCCTTCAGCCTGCCCCTGCTTTATGCAAACTTCTAAAGTGGTTGTTAGCACGTACTGCACTGCTGTGCCTCGAAAGGACTAACCCAGTACAGTGCCCAACTCTGCCGTATGTGGTCTCTTTGCAGGCAATGGTTGGAAGAAGCAAATGAGAAACAGCCGGCAGACGGGTGTCTGCTTTTCCTAGTGGCTTCTAAGAAAGACCTACTGGTATGTGTGTGTGTGTGTCACGGTGTGTGTGTGTGTGTGTGTGTGTGTGTGTGTGTGTGTGTGTGTGTGTGTGTGTGTGTGTGTGTGTGTGTGTGTGTGTGTGTGGGTGGGTGCGTGCGTGCGTGCGCGTGTGTGTGTGTGTAAGAAAGAGAGCCAAATAAGCGCCACATTCATGGAGATAGTGTGTGCATACATGCATACATATTTCAACTTGTGTGTATGTGTATGTGCAGTGTGTATATGTATGAATATGCTAGTAATAATAACACGTGCAGTTACAATTTAGCACAACTGGATGGTGCATAGTGCAAACTTGCCGCAAACCGCATCAGAAGTTCTGTTGCAGAACAATACTGCAGGGTGTATCTTCAGCTCTTGTGCTCTACAGCCCCCAACAGCTCCAGTTGAACAGGAGAAATGCCTCCCTGAGGAATCACCAGCACACTGTGATTGAACAGACACCGGTGGTCTGCCGGATAGGTTTCAAGTACAGTGCTGCTCAATGAAATCCAGTCGCGTCACTCGAGCACGCGCTGGGTGTTGCACAGCCCTAGACCTGCAAACACTAGACTGAGAAATGCCGTGCAATGCGTCGCAAACTTGAGTGACATGACTGGATTTCATTCAGCAGGACTGTAGTTACATGTGTGTAGTAGTCCTTCTACTCTGAAATAGATTTGAAGCTTCAAAAGAGCATGTGAGGGGAACCATGGATTTGATCTCTCCAGGACCTGGGTCTTTCAACTTGACAGGTTGCCAGTTTGGGCAGTCCAGCCACTTTAATGTGCCAAAGAAGGACCCCCGGCATTCATGTTATACAAACACATGTTTCTCCCGAAAAAATTACGCAGACTCTTTGGCCCTATGTGGAACGGATAGAGAGTTAGTTCTGTGACTTAGAATGTGCAATTGATGTCGTAAGTGTGAAACGTGAGTCGCATCAGCACCTCGTTCCAAGTTACTTGTACTTGCACTGATTGGTGTGGCTGTGGTGTATTGTGAATTGCAGACACAGACCGGACAGGTACAGATGCAGGCTGAGGGTACAGCAATGGCCAAGGAGCTTGGAGCTGAATTCTGGGCCGTCTCCTCAATGTCCGGTACATATGTGTGTGTGTGTGTGCGTGTGTGTGTGTGTGTGTGTGTGCGTGTGTGCGTGCGTGTGTGTGCGTGCGTGCGTGTGCGTGCATGCATGTGTGTGCGTGTGTAGGGTGCGTGATATGCCGACAACAATCTAGTTACAGCACACGTAGCCCTGACTGGCCAAGGCCACTGCCGGAGCGGTATACATGTACATGTACATGTGCCACTGTGTAGCCCGCAGGCTATGAGGTCGTTAGAACCTATGCCCATGGCGGCCATAGCGCTTGCACTCAATTGCATGGACGTACATGTACCTGTAGAGTAGAAGCATGGTCAGTAGCCAAGGAATGATGAGTCTCGTGACTGTCATGATCTCTGGTACTTTCAAAGACAGCGAAGCTTGTGTTACGGCATGGCGCACCTCCAACGGCCAGAACAATCTATGCTGTATAGCTAAAAAAATACTCTATTAGAGGTCAAACGAATTATATTACTTGTATAATGCAGTGTCCCCAGAAGAGTTCTTTTTATATCCAAGTCGAAGAGGAAAATGTGTTATGGGGGGGGGGGGGGGTGTATGCTGAAACTCTACTATATGCAGCTCCAGATTCTCCACTCTTGCACTAATGCTAGCCGCATAGTGCAAAGAGCACTAGACCATGATGTCCTCTGTAACCTCTTTTCTAAACCAACTCAGGAGAGAATGTTGCTGATTTCTTCACAAGAGTAGCAGCGCTATGTTTCAACAAAGCAGTATCCGCAGTGGCACAGCACGATTCCACCGACGCCGGGGCAGGGAAGACGGCCCAAATTGTCAGTGACGGAGGGCTCATCCGTAAGTTCTTGGCTCACAATGTTTGGCCTTTAAAAAGAGGCCCTTCTGTGCTTGCATGGTGTTAGAGCTACTGGTAGTAAAAAATGATTACACTTCTACAGTTCTACCTTGCAACTTCCCTTTCCATCCGGCCCTACAAGGTATGACTATTCCATGCATTGGGGCTCACTGCGCACTAGGTTGTATGTGTAATCAGTGTGTCACTGTGGGTTCAGTGCGGACTGCATCCCGAGCTTAACCTGGATGAGGATGGTGCACCGTACCTCAGTGGTTAGAGGCGATTTACACGACAGCAGTGCATCCCGCTGGGAAGAGAAGCACGTGATCCCGAGAGCTTGCCGTGATACGGGAAAAACGAAAATCGATTCACATGGCAGGATGCACATACAGTACCTGCAGTACAAAACAGTACATGGAATGCCACGGGATGCATTTCCACCCACCAGCCCCCTCATGGCACCGGGACCGTCCCGGGATAGCTCGCGGGATGTGTTCGCACCAAAATATGAGTACATGTGACTGAATCTCCATGGTAGCATCATGCACGGGATGAATCATAGCATGCCGTAGTGTAAATCGCCTCTTAGAGCATCGCTGGCCAGTAGCAAAGGTCCCTGGTGCAAGTCATGGTGGTGATACTTGCAGTCAATATTCCTTCTTCAGACGTTTCCCCTTTTCAGTCCCTCCAACTTATGAGCCACGCTGTGCTTTAGAATTAGCATTACGTAAAATACACATTCCTTTAAAAAAACTTTCTGCTGTTTTGCATTTGCACAGGGTTGCAGAAACCCAGCATGGAGAGTCAACCTTCCCAGACACACACACCGGGCCGTATTTGCTGTCGGCAATCTTGATGAGAGCTGTTGGTAGCACATTGTGTTGAGTCATCTATGCCTAACAGCGATCCAGTGGCGCACGCCATCAAACGCTGCATGACTGTACAGATGGCGATGTACCAGTCCACAATATCGCTGGAGGTGCGTAGCGCTACAATGCAATGCAGGTCGAGCATCAAGCCAGATCTAACATGGACCGCACAACTTGACATGAAACTTGACATGAGTTACGGCCAATGCCGGTCGCCGCGATTGCCCCGTCCAAAGCGGTACAGAAGCAGTGGGCTGGCGGTGGAATTGTGATGCTGGCAAAGAGGGGGCATTAAGGAGCCCAAACGGCTATGCAGTGTGCAGTTCGCTACCAAGAACATCAGCACTGCCACAGTGTGCAGTTCGCTACCAAGAACATCAGCACTGCCACAGTGTGCAGTTCGCTACCAAGAACATCAGCACTGCCACAGTGTGTGTGTGTGTGTGTGTTTTTTTTTTTTTTTTTTTTTTTTTTTTTTTTTTTTTTTTTTTTTTTGTGCTCCTTGGGAGCAGGTTACACTTTCTGAGCTCCGTGTTCTTGGCTTTCTCCAAAGTTTTTCTGCCTGCCCAGGGCGACTCTGGCGTAGCCAGAGTCGACCCTGGAGCACCCTCGCACACTGCCAAGGTAGTGCTGCATGTTTGGATCGCGGAATCGCGATGTAGCTTGCAGGACAATTTACTTCGATATTGTCACTGCTGCGTCGGCCGTGGTCCACCACTCGCAGTGGAGTAGCTATCCCTCGAGTGCTGTGAAGAATCCAAGCTCGAAGAATGCAGTGGTGGGAATTGCGGATTGGCTGGTGGAGTGCTGGAACAAGTCGTTGTTTCAGTGGAGTGGACGAGCGAGTGCGGAGAGGAAGGTCGCAATGGCGGAATGGTGGGAATTGAAACTTCAATCTTTCGTCGTCATGAGTGCACTGGTCAAGCGTTGCGGAAGTCTGTCGGATTTGTGAGGCATTGCCCTGCCGCTTACATCAACAACGTGGAAGAACTGCTAGTGGAGTCCTGGTGGGATTTCGGATGCCCACACTCCTTTTGCTTGGTGGATTCTTTCGTGGACAGTGTTTTTTTCGTGGCGTGAAATTTTGAATTTTTTTTCTTTCCTGTTCATTTTCAGTTGTTGTCACTGTAGCTGTCAGGTTGTTGTTACAGAACTCGAACATGATTGTACAGCAGTCGTCCGTTCTGCTCCATTGTTTCATCTGTTTTGCCAGTTCTGCTAGCTGATTCTCTTTATTTGCCACTGCCCCTCATAGTGCTCATGCTTGGGTGGAGGGCGGCGTGACCCGTTTAGGGTAGCTGTATCATAGTAGTAGTAGTGTGTGTGTGTGTGTGTGTGTGTGTGTGTGTGTGTATGTGTGTGTGTGTGTGTGTGTGTGTGTGTGTGTGTGTGTGTGTGTGTGTGTGTGTGTGTGTGTGTGTGTGTTGTGTGTGGATTAGACAGTTATCTGGCGCAAGTCTTGATCTGTCTCATTCAGATCTTGTTCGCTATCATTGCTATAAGAGAAAATCTGTGGGTGCACATCCAGTGCATTTGCAGATGTGTGTGCTTCTCTTGCGACGGGCGTATGCATGATACATGGTGTGTGTGTGTGCGTGCGTGCGTGTGTGCGTGTGTGTGTGTGTGTGTGTGTGTGTGTGTTGTGTGTGGATTAGACAGTTATCTGGCGCAAGTCTTGATCTGTCTCATTCAGATCTTGTTCGCTATCATTGCTATAAGAGAAAATCTGTGGGTGCACATCCAGTGCATTTGCAGATGTGTGTGCTTCTCTTGCGACGGGCGTATGCATGGTACATGGTACATGGTGTGTGTGTGTGTGCGTGCGTGCGTGTGTGCGTGTGTGTGTGTGTGTGTGTGTGTCGCACCATTCCAGGCAGGCATTACCAGTCAGTGGTATTCTCTCTTTGATTTCTGGACGACACAGTTTGGGCAGGGATGATAGGACTTAGTAGAAATATTGTGGAACTTACTGCATATCAGTGTGAGACCAAGATACGGTTTCAATGATATCAACCCTTTCTACGCACTTGTAAACAGTCTACCATTAGAGTTTGGTGACGGCTGAAGTCTGCTCCTCTTCCTTTTACATGTACATGCACTCAATCAAATATGCGTGAAACTTCCCTTCAAGCTACGGTACCAAATTTCTGCTGATTTTGCTGCCGGTATAGTCACTATTGCCTAAGCTAGGTAACATAGAAGTACCATGCACATGTACATGTAGATCGACAATTATACGCACTAGCGCAGCTCAGATTGCCATTGCCTATCATTATAGCAATCAACAGTTTCTATAGCGATCTACGATTGCGGTAGCTTGGGTGAAATCTGGACCGGTATACTACATTGTAGCACATGTGCATCTCCGAAGCACACAGCCCAGCACCTTCCATACACGAGGTAAACCACTGTCACACTGGCTCAGCTCAGTGCCATGTGTGTGGCCAAGAGTAGATGTACGAGTTGTCGGAGTGGCATACAATGACTCTTGCCAAGTCTTGGTGTCGCCTTCGGACTTCCATATCACCATGTGACACTGGCATAGCATGAGCGTCAGATAACACCCGATCGACAAAGCATTGAGCCGGCGCCCCACCTCGTCGGCCCCGATGACACTTGACAGTCAGTAGATCTACTCAGCATAGCAGGACGGGAGGCGGACACTCAACATTCTTCGTGGGTGTCTCGTTTCGCACCTGCTTCATTCGAAACCATCAACTCTGTTCATGTTAGTACTCAGCGACAAACCCCGTACCGGGGTAGAAGTGAGTTCAACCCAATGTTCAATTGTTGATGGTTGTATTTTTTTCCTTGCCCCTTTCTCTCGCTACATTGTAGATTATCTGAAATCTGAAGGACCAGCCTTGCGAGTGGGTTCAAGGAAGGGTTCGCCGAAATGAGCCGGGGTGTAGAGTATCGAGTCGGTATGCTCGACGACCCAAGCGAGCTCCAGATGGACGAGGGCGATCCTATGCTACCAGCTGACAGCGGATACAACGCTGGCCAAAGTGGCGAGCGGATCGGCACCTACCGAATGAGGACCGACGAGGCAGCCGCCACCGGTGCACCGCAACGGCCACGCTCCGCGAACAGTGGATTGCAGCCCGTTGCCACTCGATTGCCTGGGCAGCAGAAGAAGTCGCTCAACATCAGTCTCGATGTTCGTGGCTCCGGATCGTCACCAGGAGGCAAGCGCAAGTCCAGAGGTAATCGCAGCAGCGCGGGTGACGACGGAATGGTCGAGCTTCGTGATATCCGCAGAACTACATCGAGCCGAGCCGCAAATACCAGATCGGGGGACACAGGCCAGGTCGCTGACCAGAATGCTGACCGCGCAGCACAGGTGCGGAGACGAAGCTCGGCGAAAAAGCGCCAGCGTTCCATTGAGCGGAGCGATTCCGCTACCCGCCTGCTCGAAGCTGTTGCTTTGGGAAATGACTACGAAGATCCGTATGACTCTAGTGACGATGACCACGTGAATGCTGTGAGAAGCTCATCATTTGGCGGAGCCGAAACACCGGTATCGCCAAGCGGGAAAAAGGCAAATAGAGGTCGTCCGAGGTCTGCGTCGGACAGAGGTAGTGTGGATGCGACGGATGTCAGTGTCAGTGGGAGCAGCAGCAGGCGGAGAGCATCAAGGGACAGTGCAGATGGCGGCTCTGTACTCCAGTCGCACGAGATAGAGAAGGTCTTGACTGTGCTCCGCGACAAGGACGAGAGAATTGCAGACCTCGAAGCCAAACTCGAGCAGGGAACGTCCAATGCACCCGGCACTGGTCCTGACGGCGATTTCCTGAGTGATGCTGGAGCGCAAGGCACGTCACAACGCAAACAGTCCAATTTCACAGGCCTGGGCCTGCAGCTGCAGATTCACCTTTCCTCGCCTATGAAATACCCTAAGCCAAGCCAGGTGTCGCAGCTGCTCTTGCGCATTGTCCAATCGCCGCATTCACCGCTGCGCCACTGCTCTTTGTCGAGACAGGCGGCGGCAGTGGAGTGCATGTATCTGACTGAGCTGCCTGCCGGCAGCGACGTGGGAGCGTACTTCTTGGATGCTCAGTCCGCCTGGCTGATGTGCGCCGTGGAGAAAGGAGAGCTGGAGCTGCGTCGTGGCGACACGGCCGAGATCATTCGACGCGGCGCCGTCCTGATGCTGCCCGTGCTGCCCGACTCGTGGATAGCGTGCCGCACGCCGGTGCAACTCTGGAGTGTGGACTCGGTGACGCTGAACGAGCTGCACCGCTGCGACAACCTGCTGCGCAGCAAGGAGAACCTCAGCCTGATGAACTCCATCGATCAGTTCCAGCAAGTGCATGACAAGCACGTCAAGCAGCTGCTGCAGGCGCTGGACGAGCGGTTCTACGAGGATGGCGACGACCTGCAGCTCAAGGGGCTGGAAACCGGTGACAATCTCGTTCATATCATCAAGGCCGGCGAGGTGCGCAAAGTCGAACGCACGTCCAGGAACAGCACGTTCTACGGCCCGTCCGATGTCATAATTCCAACAATCGAAACCGTCAACACGTGCCACGTGAAAGCAGTCGGCGAGGTGGTGTGCCTCGTTATCGAGTGGAAGACGTGGCGGCAGATTACCGAGTCTGAAATCTCGCCTCTATCGAGTCCCACCGGCACTTCCCAGAATGGTGCTCACCGACCGTTCAGCCTTGGCAACACTCGCCGTGCAGCCCCGCACACTCCAGCCTTCCGCCGCGATCGCCCCAGCGTTGCACTGCAGCCCACCAAGAGCCAGGGCAAGCGCCCTAGCGGCCGCCAGGACATTGGAGTGGAGATAATGCAGCTTTGCCTCGGCGATCTGGGCGTTGTTGGTGCGCTGGGCGCCGGGACGTTTTCCCGTGTTGAGCTTGTGTGCCTGCACGACAGCCCTCAGTGTACCTTTGCGCTCAAGCGCATGTCGCGCCAGCACCTGACTCAAGGTCACCACGAGGATCAAGCTCTGCGCGAGAAGGAGGTTCTGAACATGATCTCCGAGGACCAATGCCCGTACATCGTGCATCTAAAACGCACGTTCCGCGATCATGAGTTTGTGTACTTTCTCTTGGAGCCGCAGCTTGGCGGCGACCTCTTCTCCCTGTGTCGGCGCCGCGGTGCCCTCAAGGAGAAGCATGTCCAGTTCTACGTGGCTTGCATCGTTGAAGCTCTGGACTACCTTCACAGCTGCAACATCATCTATCGCGGCCTGAAGCCTGAGGATGTGCTGCTGGATATCAACGGCTATGCCAAGCTTGCCGACTTTGGTCACAGCAAGATCCTGGAGCAGGGGGCAACACAGACCAAATCATTCTGCGGCTCGGCTGAATACATGGCCCCGGAGCAGGTGCTTCTGGAGAGCCATGGCATGCCGGTCGATGTCTGGTCACTCGGCATCACTACCTACGAGCTGCTCTGCGGCGTCACACCGTTTGCGCTTGACGACGTGCAGGCGGTCTACGCGGCCATTCTGAAAGGCCTCGACACCGTTGGCTTTCCCAAGAGCATGAAGCCCAAGGCAGCAGCCTTCGTCAACAATCTCTGCAAGTTTGAGCCCCACAGTCGTACTGGCTGCACCGAAGATATGCGCACCAGCTTTGACGACATTCGCCTGCTGCCGTGGATGAGGACGTTCCGCTGGGGCCGGCTGCGGCAGAGGGACCTCAAAGTACCGTTCAAGCCGACGCTCGACAGCTTCCATGACCTTCGCTACTTTGACAGTATACGGCCAGAGCCGCCGAGTGTCAACATGACGCAGACGTATCATAAGTCAGGCGGATGGGATTCCACCTTCTGAGAAACGTGTGCATCGAGTGTGCTGTCTCTAAGTTAGCACGCGCCGCAGTCATGGTTTGGTCTTGGCCCGACACTGTGCCGGATTGGTCGACAAGTGCACGGCGACAACTGCCGGGCTAAGAACACACTGAGACTCGCGCTACTGCACTCTACTGCTGTCTCAAGCAGGCCCGCTGAGACTTGAAGCCCCGGCAAGCAGACTGGCCCCGGCTGGATGGCAGTAGGTGCTGGTCACGGTCTCATCTGAGAGTGTACTAGTCCGCAGACATACCATTGAGTAAGCCTGTGTCCAAGACCGATACATGTACTCCCCACTATGATATTGACTTGACTGGTTGAGGCGGTCTGTTTCATTTTGCCAGCAGCACTGATTTCAAGTGTTCTGGATGATTGTTGAGTAACTTGCAGAGCAGGTGACATTGAAGAGTGCTCTGCCCTGTATAATTATATGCTGAGCTTTGCGATTTTAGGTACTGGCAGTGAAGCACGATTGACAGATCCTACTGTTGACTTTTCAAACTTGAAGCATTTTTTAAAACTTTATACTGTGACGGTCTGCGAGCCAATGCAGGCTGTGCTTGGGCCTTTGACGGTTCATGATGGTTCATGATGGTTAGTTTAATTAATTTAATTTTTTAATTTTTTAAAGCAACTCCGCCTGAAGTATGCAGTTTGTGACAAGTTCAATACTGTCCGGCTTCCAGACACTGGGCCACATGACCTATGCACACTCCGGACGGGGCATCCTGATCCATTCTATTGTGAGTACACTGAAGGATTTCAGTGTCATCTCAGTCTGATTACGGTATTTTGTTTAGCCGCTATGATCATGGCTGTAAGAACCGATGTAGCTGCAATTGTTGAAGATGTTACATACCCCCCCCCCCAGGTTATGTACTCTTGATCAGAGCAAACAAGCTCATGATTGTGTCCTCGTTTCGAATCATTGACGTTGGACTGTCCATGTATGTAGATCTTTATTTTGTCGATCTTGCATGGAAGTCTTGCTTCATGCTTGGGTTGTGCACGGGCACACGCCACAAGCCGGATCGATCAGACCAAGTCGAGAGTTCATTATGAACTCTTCAACTAAACGGTCTTGATCCGGATATCCGGGACCAAGAGTAGATAAACTGTTTATCCTGCTCTTGATCGGATTATGTACTCTTGTCTTGATCGGACCAAGAGTAGATAAACAAGAGTGTGCAACTCGCGGATGGGTATGCCCACGGCGGAATTTTTTGTTGACGTAATCTTTTCGACGACGCACGAGCTGCGAGTCTTTCGGAAAGTTTTCCCTCGTGCTCTTGGCCGGCTTTACACTACAAAGTCGGTGCCCAGCACGTGCTCTCACACTGTTCTGCGGCGAAATGCGCGTTCTTCTGAAAAAAGGTGACGTCAACAAAAAATTCCGCCGTGGGCGGGGGTATCTGCAGATTGTGCAGGAGAGATCCGGAGTTGCACACTCTTGTTTATCTACTCTTGATCGGACCAAGAGTACATAAAGGTTTATTGGAAAGGCTTTCTGTCTAAAGCCTTTCCATACTGGTGCTCGATGTTTTCAGTTTGGGGACACCAAAATTAGTGTACCGCTAAAGACACGTGGTCGACACGTTGTTGACACGTTGCTGACACTTTGTTGACACGTGACCCAATTACCGGCCTACCAAGGGCCTTTGGGGACCGCTAACAGCAACTGTGGAACAGTGCAGTGCCCTTTTTTGGAGCAACGTACGAGTAGTGCCCGTGGATTATGACCCCGCGACCCCAATCTACGTGGCGATCCGCAATTCGCTACTTCATACTGACTGGCGTCCGGCATCGTCCCGAATTTGGCCGCAATCTTCTCTCGGGACCCTGTGTAGGGCTCCCTGACCTGCTCCATCTCCGCCATCGTCAATGTACTGCGCATCCACCCAGGCCAGGACTGCACTTACTTACGGGAAGGAGTATTTGCGAGATGGAACCTGGGAACTGGAAGACGACGAAGAAGAAGCGTGGGAATCCGGCAGCAATGGCTGGGATGTAAGTCCAACATTGCTGGTGCTAGAGTTGCCACTGCTTGAAATCATGTGTGTTGCCCTTTTTTGCCTTTTCCGACGTCCTCCTCCGACTGTACTCCCAGGACTGAACTTACGGGAAGGAGTGCTTCCAAGATGGGAGACGAAGAAGAAGAAGCCGCTGAATCCGGCGGCAATGGCTGGGATGTAAGTCCAACAATAAACATTGCTGGTGCTAGAATTGCCACTGCTTGTTTATAAGGGATTCATGTGTGTTGCCCTTTTTTGCCTTCTCCCATGTTCTCTTCCGACTGTACTGGTGAACGCTGTCACATATGTTGCCCTTTCCAGGCAGTAGAAGGGAGGGGCGGAGGGCAGCACATCTATCCTGGCATCCAGGAATGCTGGGTGGAACTGGGCAATCTGACCTTTCCTCTTACAAGTACTCCAATGATGGTATGGATGGGGAGTTCTTGAACGTCCTCAGTCTTGTTAGATTGAACTGTGCAACTCGGCAATCGGTGATAGCAGAGGACCAATGCTGATGGCGATGCTCCTTCTTTTTTCTCTGTCACAGGCTGCGTTCTCGAGAAGAAGCGTTATTTCTGCATTCCAAGAAGGACGGCACAATGGTGAGTGGAACTTCGTGGGTGTGCAGCCTTGCTAGTTGAGTTGTAAATCAACCATTCTTCCTGTCTCTGACTTCTTCAATGTCCTCCTCAGTGTCGGACTGTCCGCGTCGCATTGAACTGGTCCGATGAGGCTTCTATTGCACACACAGTGAGGGAACTCCCATACGGGAACTCGGAAGTACTGCTACAGTACAGGTAAGGTGGCCGTTGCTTATGTGCGTGCGCCGTTGTTGTCAACTTTTAAGCCAGATGTTTCACAATGCATTGCACCAAGAGTACATAACCCCGGAGGTCATGTACTCTTGATTGCACTCAGCACCGCTTCTCGGAATATCTTGTCAGGATAGCTGTGGAACGCATCCTCCCCAGTGGAGGAACGGCAAATGTGCTGTTCATTTTAGGCTTGCTTTTATGGTACGTACAAATCCCCATTGAAAAGACATAGTGGAGACGAGAAACTGCAAATAGATGTTGGGAACCGGGAAGACCACCCTTCCTTGCCAAGTTCCCTGAGGGTGTGGAGGGGGGGGGGGGGAGAGTGGAGGAGGGACATTTAAAGCAGGATTCACAGGAGCATTTTCAGAAATTGCTTGTACATTTGTACCAGTTGTAGCCGACAAACGCATTCTCATTGAGCTTTGACTTGAGGCACGTCAGCAAGGCGCTGTTGCATCGCTTACGTCTTGTCGTGATTCTGTGAATGGTATTTTGTGCGAGTTTGCATCGCACGCAGAATCGCAGGTCATGCCGCATTGCGCAGCACACTGCCAAATTGCTTCTGTGACTCCCACGTGAATGGGAATTCCAATGGGAATGTAATCCATTGCCAACAGGTGTATTCCCGAGCTGCGCATCATACTGCAAAATTGCTCCTGTGCATGCAAGTGGATTTCATTGCTCTTTTCAGTTTAGGAAATTCTCGATTATGATAATTCTGTGTGTGTGTGTGTGTGTGTGTGTGTGTGTGTGTACACCAGCCCTGAACATACATGTAGGTGACCCATTTGTGGTGTCTCATAGCCTACCTCACGACCTTATGCTTTCTTTCTGCATCACTTGTATGTTGCAGGTATATCATCCCGTGACAACCACATTGAAGTCTGAATTTGAAGTGTGAAGATGCTTCAGCAACCCCTTCATTTTTTCCATTGCTTTTATTGTGCTGCTACTGTGCATGTGATGGTAACGTATGCCGGTGACACGGTCAGATTTTGTCCATGCGTGTAACGTACACCTGCATGCTATCGTTGAAAAGGATCTGCCACTTACGATCTTCGGACGAGTATCAGGTCAGCTTGGTTTTGTGTGGGCTGTACCAGATGCTGTTCACTTCTCTATCTGTTGGATATGTGACTTTCTGCAAGTTTCTGGTGTATGGTGGCCACTTCTTTGCTTGTCTTTGTATGACATTACAATAATTCTGCACTCACTGCTTCCATGGTGTGGTCTGCAAACTGCAATCCTTACGCAAATATCATCACGGTTTGCAATATTGTGCTTTGGCTGCCAGCTTACCTTTATTTTGTTTCACAACTGACTTCCTGAAGTATGGTGGCCACTGCTTTGCATGGCATTATACAATGTTCATCAAGAATTTTCCTGTTTGGGCCGTGTGTGTGTGTGTGTGTCACTGTGTGTGTATGTGTCACTGTGTGTGTATGTGTGTGTGTGCCATGTGCATGTGCTTGTGCTTGTTTGTCACAATGTGTCTGTGTGCGGGGTAGCGAGGTGGGAAGGGCTGGAATGTATCCGTGTGCTACTGCAATCGCAAGGCTACATACAGTGCATCGCGCGCATGCTCACCATGTTTATCTTCGGAGCTGGGCCGGGGTGGGGGAGGGAACAGAAAAAGAACTGAAATTACCCATATAAAAACCGCTCTGTGAGCGGTTCTGAAAAACCTCTACTGGTGCAGCCCCGTCGTAAAAGTAAGAAATTAGGACTGGTGCATTGTCCTCCCAAATGTGAACTGATCCACCTAAATCGCGATTGACGGGACCCGAACGCACCAGTAGCACGAGGTCGGGACTCGGGAGGGCACAGGATTACAGCAATGGACCGGCGCCGATCAAGTTACCATACAACACTTACAGTACCCCGAAGCCCACCTTTGGCTTTGGCTATGGACCAGCGTCCCCAGCTGCATCCACAGGTAGGAACCTCGTGCTACTGGTGCGTTCGGGTCCCGTCAATCGCGATTTAGGTGGATCAGTTCACATTTGGGAGGACAATGCACCAGTCCTAATTTCTTACTTTTACGACGGGGCTGCACCAGTAGAGGTTTTTCAGAACCGCTCACAGAGCGGTTTTTATATGGGTAATGACTGTACTCTTGATCGGACGCATAGCGCTAGCGCATACAGGTCGCGTTGATTCTGTACGACGCGCAGCCATGACAACAGGGAGCAGCCATCGTGCGCTTGCGCATCATTGTAATCCGTGACGTATGCAGATCCTGCGCTTGTAGCTCTGTGGTCCGGGCAACGATTTGGCGGAGAGCTGAGAGGCAGGTGGCACTTGGACGAAACGATTTTCCACATCACCAACCGCATATCGGTAATTGTTTCTGTGCATTGTTGTTGCTGTTTGTGCAGCAAACATGTTGGCACAGTGCGCTCGTCGGCCCCTTGGCTTGGCAGTTCGGCCTTCCCTCGTTCGAGCTGCTGGATCTGCTGCTGCGACAGCCACCGAGGAAGCACCGACTCAGGTTGCTCCACAGCGAAAATATGAGTTTGAGCTCTTGCCCTATGTAAAAAAAGGATTTTTTGGCAGCCAACTGAGTGAGTTCATGGGCGAACGCCTGGGTGTTACGGGAAGCTGGACTCTTGGATTTGGTTTGACGGCTTACCTTTGGTCCAAGGAATGGATTCTGTACAACGGCGAAACGTGTTTAATCATTCCACAGCTTGGTGTACTCTACGTCTGTGTCAGCAAGCTTGCTGGCGTTACATCTGATGGTGCTGAGAAGGCTAATACACACATTTTCAATCGCCTGTACAACCGCAAGGCCGCGGTAGCAGACATCTTGGAAACTGGCATTACGGCAGCCAATGATGTCGAGGCAGAGGTGTCGGTACGCACAGACGTGTTCGACATGCTCCGCACCAACGCCTCAATGTACCGAGACACGCTGTACCGCGAGAGAGTCTCCGCCGTACACAACGAGGTCATGAAGCGCCTTCAGCACCAGGCTGAGCTAGAGGCTGCAAGACGACGCATTAAGCAGGCACACATGATCACCTGGATTCAACGCGAGGTGGTGAAGGATGTTGCAACCTCACTGGATCAAAAAGCAATGATGAAGTCGTGTCTGGATGAGCTCGACAGTGCCGTCAAGGCTGCACGCCAGTGAGTGTCTTCTTTCTACAAACACATTTTTTTTATTCTGCAACGCCAAAGGAGTATTAATTTGACAATGAAACCAATGCGCATGTGTGGTTGTGAGCGGGTGAGTGTGCGTAGTGTGAAGAGCATATCGTAATGATAATATTAATGATAAACTGCCACTGATTGTTGACTGGGTGTATTCTTGTGTGTCATAGTGCTGGCTCTCTTTCTAGCATGCTTACCATGCTATCACTCCATCTCCTCGTGCATGTTCAAGTTTAACACAGGACCTGTTTTCAGGTGGACATCTGGGGGGGGGGGGGGGGGGGGTAATGCTGGCAGAAAATCAGCAGAATTTGGTACACTACTTCCCCGAAGTTGAAAGTCGCACCCCCAATTTCAGGTCCATGTCGTACTGGTTCAATATAATATTTACTTATCTGAAAGGTGCTCCCCACATTGGAGCTCGCGCTTTTCCACCAACTGACATGGCACTTGGCAGTCGCAAGTCAGTCGGTGGAAAAGTGCGAGTTCCAGTGTGAGGAGCACTTTTCCTATAAACTCATTGCCGACTTGGCTACCATTGTCCCATACATGTACATGTACTTCAGTAGTAAATCATGGCCTATTGTAAGTTGCCGCCCTTTGGCCTTTGTTGGCCCTGAAGTTTAGTGTAAAAAGCTGTCCCTCCAGGAACTTGCGATTCCGCGGCCGCGTTGTTTTCCGCGATTTGAACAAAAGTCCGTGATATCCGCGATATTTGAAAAATCATCCGCGTTATTGTAGAAAATTGTCCTTGATACTTGAAAAGCACCGCGATATTTCGAAAAGCAACCGCGATAGTCGAGTCTTTCTTCGATGTTGTTTAGTTCTTCAAGCTCGTCAGTAGTTTACTTGTGAGATCGACACCAGAATGGAGAAGTTTCTGGGCAAATCAGCGGCTGACAAGTCACAAAATAAGGCTCGCGTCGAGTGTTGTCCGAGGATGGAGGAAAGCTGTCTTGCAAGCTCCTGTCAGGCAGTTGAACACAGTCAGCGCAGCACACGTTCTGTTTTGTCATGCATGATTTATGCTGTACGACTCGTACATCGTACACCACTACAGTACAAGTACCAAAATCGGCCGCAATTTCCGCAAATTTACCACAATAATCCCGCAATATTCCCCCCCTCCCCCCCCCCCCCCCCCCAATTTGTGGCATTTTACCTCGCAACTTTTTCCGCGATATTTCCGAAATGTCTCCGGAAGTTTCTGGAGGGACAGAAAAAGGTGTGACTGATATTCGGGGAAATGCGATATTGTTTCTCGAGGGTTCATGCATGGTTTGTATTTGGCTAGGGGAGAGGAGCAAAAGTCACCAGATTGCCCGTCCTCCACTTTATTTGCTGCTACCCTTTTTGTTTTGCTTTTACAGGAAGCGGAAAGGTGGTTCTTGACCAGGGAGTTGTACGACTCCTTGTTCTTGAGCTGCCCTGTACGCAAATCCGTCGAATTTTTTAAAATTTTTTTACAGTTACTGTTGTAGCAGATTTTTCATTAACCACCACACCATAACTGCGCTCTCCGGCCGACCTCAACGCCTCGAGTTGTATACTCGAAACAACTACTATGAAGGAATTCAGTACCAACGGATGTGTCGCTTTGCTGGTGGTGTGGTGGTTAGAATGAAAAATCTGTACAGGGCTGAATGCTGCTGCTGTTGCTGCTTACCCCTTTATGTTGTAGCAAAATCAAAAAATCCTAACATTGTCTGCCATGGACTTGGTTTGTAGCTCAGTGCAGTGTGCACATGGGCTTTTACGCGCCTTGCAAGCCGTCTGAAAGGCGGAATTTTAATTCGTCCGCATCTGAGTCCTGCCGCTGTCACTCGCACCACTCGATTGATTGCAGATTACCGCATTGGCGTACTTGGCCGTGTCTTGTGCTCTTTGCCAGGAAACTCGAGTGTATAATTCACGCGCTTCATCGTACATCAACCTGTCCGCCCGCATCTGGAAACCCCAAAGGCATATCAGCATGAGAGTTTGACTACTTTGGCTACCCTGGGTCCAAGATCAGAGCAGCCAGAACATGTTTCGAATGCAGAAGTACAGGCACAGCGCTAATCCAGCGGTGGTGTATCCCTGATCTTGGCTTGCAAAAGTAAACGCTCCCTAACTGCCTAAAGGCCGATTCATACTTCATTTCGGGTACGGGAAACGCGTCACGAAAAAGTTGATCTGAGGGGAAAATCATGCAGTGTGAATCAGCCTTAAGGGCACGTTCAGGCTACCGATAAAAAGCAACGGAATGGGAAAGTTTCTAAGGTGATTTGATCACGTGACAGTACAGGCACTCTGTAGACGGAAAGGTTGTACTGCTGTGGCTGGTGCGGTGAAAGCAGTATTCCGGCAGTAAAAAAGAGGTGCTCTGCAGCTCAGGCTTTGACTCGCTTGAGTAGGGGAAAACCCCGTCTCGGTGCGGCGGTGAGAGCTGCACAAGTAACGCTAGTTTACCGGTAGTGCGGATGTCGTTCACGGTTTGATGGGGTTCTTGGTAGTTTGAATGCGCTCTGATCTCCAGAGCATGGTCAGCCAGCGGACTGCGGACATCAAGATATCGTGTGTAAAAGTATGTTCGTGGAGTGCTTGACACTGTCAGAGCATGGGTGGTAATTTCTAGTCTTATGAAGGAAAGAACAGCATCTCTTGTACAGGTTGGCATGTTTTCAATTTCGACAGCATGTTACAAGGCGAGGATGCACAGTGCTCTTGACTACAACCTTAAGCCGGGATCGAAAACATGTTCAACTATCAAGCCAGGCTTCTATATGTGTATAAGTTACTATGACTAACAGCAAGAGTAGATAAACAAGAGTGTGCAACTCCGGATCTCTCCTGCACAATCTGCAGATACCCCCGCCCACGGCAGAATTTTTTGTTGACGTCACCTTTTTTCAGAAGAATGCGCATTTTGCTGCAGAGCAGTGTGAGAGCACGTGCTGGGCACCGACTTTGTAGTGCAAATGCGGCCAAGTGCACGAGGGAAAACTTTCCGAAAGACTCATAGCGCGTGCGTCGTCGAAAAGATTACGTCAACAAAAAATTCCGCCGTGGGCCAACCCATCCGCGAGTTGCACACTCTTGTTTATCTACTCTTGCTAACAGTCCACCAAGGACTTAGGTACATGTATTTTTACATACCTTTGAGCCTCCCTAATTGGGTGGTCTGTTGCCTTGCGTTTTCGAGGTGTAGTTAGACCGGTTTGTCCAATGGTCTAACTAGTCTCGTCATCATCATCATCCCTCAGCCTCTACCCCTTTCACACTTCCCCTTTGTTCCGCAAATGTACATGTAGTGGTACCGTAATAATCGCGTAATTGCCCTCTGTGACCCTGTTACCCAGACCCCGCTCTTTCTGCCTGCTCGAGCTGTCCCAGTGCACGTGGCCATGTGCCATCGTGCACGATACTGGGTGCCCATAGAAGGCTTGGTTGGAATTCAAAGCCAACTTATGGCACGGTTGATGCTTATTTGAAGTGCAAGTACCAAGAAGTCTGTTTGTCATAAACCATATACTCTTGCTAGTAGAGCTACACGCGCAAGGAAAACTTAGTGTGTACGAGTGGTCCCTTTGTATCCAGCACCATTTGTGCTTTGGAAATTCTGCTGGGTTACCAAATCTGATGATGTATTGATGCAGTGGGCATGAGTAGATGTTTGTGCGGCCAAGGACTTAGTGCGGCTGTGTGTGTTGTAATTTGCTGTGAGTAGTTGCGTGTGTAGCGTGCTCCGTAATAAATAGCACCACTGGACAGAAAGCCACACAGCTCATTGCCGAATCAGACTATACACACGCTGACCTTCGTTGCAAGAAGTATGAAATGGACTTGAAGCAGATTTGGACAACATGCTGTAAATTTCGCCGTCGCAATCTGCACATGCAAAAGTTGGAAGTGTAGCTTGTAGGAAGGGGAATTGCACTCTTGGTGCTTGGGCCATGGTGTCACACTTACTACAATTATGGTACAATCAAGAGTACATAAGCACCGATGGGTGTATATACTCTTGGTACAATCTACACCGGTAATAAGCGAAGGAAATGGATTTGTACGTGAGAACTCGCTACTGTTGCTCCATTATCAGGAGGTTTTACTTCCATATTTTCCAGTTTCATTAATTTTGGAAACTATCACCAGCTGAAAGATTGACAATGCACCAGGCTTCAATCAATAATTTCCGCTTCAGAGGTTGGGTGGGGGTTGGTCACAACCTAAGGAGTCATCATAATAATACTCCATGGTCGTAACTAATACTTTTAACAAAAAAATGTTTTGAAGTTGATTGTTCCAACGAGGAACACACGCTTCTTGCCGAACTTGACACTTGACTGACTCACGACTGCCATCCGGAGCACTAAAGTTCGTAAAAATGTTTTGTGCAATGAAAATTGTCGATAAAATTTAATAGTGCCGGACGGTTCCGTCTTACGCAGTAGTCAGGATCACCGGTTGCAATTCGGATTTTTACGCTGAGTGATCACCAGGCAGCGAATGCCAATCTTATCAGTTTTATGCAAGTGCTCTACATTGCCGGCACAAAGTGATTAATTCCTCCCTCCGTAAACTTCAAGCATACTATTACTAATTTAATAGTTTGAGCAGGAGTCCCTAACCCCCTGTTTCATATGGTGTTTTTTTGCTGCTTTAGCTTACACAAGAGAAAAAGCATTCGTGCACCGGTATGATCAATAAAACTTAGTGATATTCATAGGTTGAGGGAATGGAAAAAGGGATTAATACGGCGGTAAATACATACCTGGCAAATTGGCAATATGGCGGTATATACCCGCCTTTATCCGGGGGGGGGGGGGGGGGGTAAGAGCGTGATCTTTATACGCACAAATGTACTGTGTACAGTATGTTCTGAATAATAATTCTTTATTAGGATGACCCAGAGGCTTGTCGCCTAAATTGAGGACTGACATGTTGCACTTTACTTCAGTAATTTTTAAGGTAGTCAGACTTGCATCTTTCACAAATTTTCAGTTCTTGCTGCTCCACACCATTTTATATTTCTGATTTAGCCCCACTACGTATTGTAATCATGGTAATATCCTGGGCAACAAGACGCATGTCTTCCTTCTAGAGCGCATGTCATGGACTGTATGTGTATTCTTGTTCAAGCTTATAACATCTATGGTGGGTCGC